TCATCTTTTAACATGAAGTCCAAATTACATATTTTTTTGTATAGATAGTACTATTTGTAGACATATATTTTTTTTTTGGTCAGTACTTTGTCCCGTGCTTTCTAGAGAGAGTGGAAGGGAGGAAGGGAGAGAGGACTGGAGGGAGAGAGGGTAAAGAGAAAAAGAGATGGAGACAGAGAGAGAGAGAGAGAGAGAGAGAGAGAGAGAGAGAGAGAGAGAGAGAGAGAGAGAGAGAGAGAGAGAGAGAGAGAGAGAGAAGAGCATCAATGTGAAAGAGACCCACTTCCATGCTCACTGACTCAGGCCAGAGATCAAACCTGCAACATAGGCACATGCTCCCGACCGGTAATCAAACCCGCAACCCCTCAGTGTGCAGGAGGACACTCCAACCACTGAGCAACACCTTTTACATTTTAAGAAGGCTGTGTACGCCCCCAGGGAATTATTTTCAGGGTTTCAAAGTACCCTTCAGGGATTGACCTGGCCAAGTGAAGTTGTGTCCCCTGTGCAGCTCTTGGCTTGCCAAGGCGTTTGTGACATAGGGGGTCATGGTTGATGTTGATGTCTGTTTGGCCAAATGGGATCCCAGTGAATCCACTTGACTTTTGGCCTTGGTTTAACCACTTCCAAGGATGTTGTGTCTACCCACTAACTGTTCAGCCCAGAGAACAGGGATGCTGTGTCACCCAGAACACTCAATGGTGGGTTTGGAGAAGGGGAAGGTATTCAGGGAACAAGGCCCCTGAATGTGAGTTCCCCTCTTCTACTGCAAGCAGGCCCGTTGTTCCCGAGAGTCCTGTCTGGGCCACCAATGGAAGGAAGAATCGGCGTGGGGCAATGGAAAGAGCTAGGGTTTTGGAGTCAGGCTGTTTTGGGCCTGATCTTGCTATCTTGGTGGCATTGGGTAAGTTACTTAATTTCTCTGAACATCATTCCCTTATTGGTAAAAACGGAATTAATAACAATGCCAAAGCGACAGGCTTCTTGTGAGGATGGAATGAGAAAGTGAATGCACAGTGTTGAGCATGCAGTGGCTCCCATGACATGTGTCCTCAGTAAATGCCAGCTGTTGTTGAGCACCTTCCTGGGCTAGGTTCTAGGGATACAGAGACAAATAATAGCCATTCTAAGGAGAAGGAGGGCACAGGAGGAAGTCATCCTAAAACACGACAGAAGGCAGTCTGCACACACCCTGGGAAGAAGGTATTTGTACTCCCATTTCATGAAGGGGGAAGTGAAGGTTCATGGAGATGAAGGGACTTGCCCAGGGTCATACCTAGGCAACTATCTAGGCAGACAAGGATTCGTTTGTGTTTTCTAAAGCCCTGAAAGGACTCCGCAAAGAGCTGGGGAAGCCAGTCTGGTGAGAGGGGGGACTGGTTCAGAGGGGCCTCGGGTTCTGGAGGGGTTTGGATTGGACCCTGCAGGCATTAGGGCCAGTCCGTTCTTCCTCCTTATTGTCTCTAGTCCATCCACTCTCTCTGTCTCCTTAGCCAGACTCTGGCCCAGTTTTGAGTCTTGAACTCTCTCCTGCTCTCCTAGAACGGCCACCTCACTGGTCTCGCTCCCATTCTGGCCACCCACCAGTTTCTCTCAACAAAGTGGACTTTCTAAGCATCTGGTCGATCACATTGCTCCCCTGCTCAGCTCTGTTCAATACTTCCCCATCACCCTCGGATGAAAAGCAAGTTCCTTGAAAAGTTTTCAGGGCCATGTAGGATGGGACCCCTGCCTGACCTTCCAGCACCAGCATGTTCCAGTCCCATGCACGTCTTTCAAGGGTGCACATACCCACACACATTGCACCCAAACCGCACCCAGCTCCTCAGTTCCCCCTCCACTTCAGGGCCTTTGCACACTGCTGTCCCCTCTACCTGGAGCACGCCCCCTCTTTCCCGGTGTAGGTGTTCCCTCCCTGGCAAGCCTTCCCAGAGCTAGGAGAAGCCAGTATGGACTGCCATGGCCCCTTGCTTTTCCCCACCACAGCACATCTACCCCTGTGTTGAAATGCTCTCTTTGCTCATTTCTTTTCCCCCCCGATTACAAACTCTTTGAGGGCAGAACTGCATCTCTCCTGCTCCCACTCCCTCCCAAGGCTTGATGCCGAGCAGGCGTTCCATGTGTTTGTGGAATGAGTAAGGGGCCGGGGGCCGGGGCCGGGTATCTTCTCCCCCCCTCCAGCCTGTGAGGGGGATGCCAGGCCCCCAGGTGCGATGGCCGGTCAGTGAGGGAGCAGGACCTTTTCAGGGAGTGATGGATGGTGTGGCTGGCCCTCACCGCTTCCAGCTGATGCATGAGTTTTAAGAACGGATGTATGTGGCGGTTCTGATTACGCTCCAGTTTTTTAAGTGAGTCACGTTGATGATGGCCATCCTGCCCGTTGGGGCTGAGTCAATTTAGTGAGAATTAATTACAGACAAGAAACCAGCTTGCAGCGCAGTTAATATCGGAACTCCCTGGAGTATGATGCAAATGCAGCCGTCAGTCCTGTCTTTGCTTGTCCTTCTCTCCGGCTCCCTGCCCACCCCCTGTCTGTGGTGCGCAAGGAGGGCCTGGGCATCAGGATGATCGGATTCTGGTCTCGGCTTCCCCGTGACTCACTCTCCTTTTCTGTTAAATAAGGGCCCGGCAGCCCATCCATTAGCAAGCATTAAATCACTCCTTCCCTGACACATACACTCCGCCGGACTTGATAAACAGCCGAAAACAAAACAAATACGGCCCTGCTCTGAAAATGTCATGTCTAAAATGTAATCATAACTGCCTTCAGGACAGCGCTTTACAGTTTCAAACATCAGGATGGACACCCAGCAGCCTCATGCTATCAATATACGGTCATCCCCATTTTACAGGTGAGGAAACAGAGGCTCGGACAGGTTGCAGTTTGCACACAGTCATTTAGTTACTCCTGTGCTACAGTTGGGCTTGAACCCGGCCAATGAGAGAATATGTCGAAAGTCGTCTGTCAATCAGTTGCCCAAGCAAGAGGGGTTATTGTCCTCCTCGGGGGATGCCAGGGCTGAGAAGACTCCGCTGGGCTGGAGGCTGGGTCCTAAACACGGAGACTCACAAGGAAAGAACGGGAGGGCCCCCTTGCTCCCAGGTCAACAGAGAAACCTCCCCTGCAGGTTCAGAATGATCCCGAGTCCTAGAGCCCTCTGTGGGCAGAAACAAGAACTAAAAACCAGATCACTAACCGCCCTCCCTACGTCGCCGCCCTCTTGTAATTCACACTCTCTCTGCCTTCTGAAACGTGCTTTCGGGGAGGGCTATGGCTGCTCAGATACAATGAGATTTGTTTCTAATTATAGTTCAGGCACGTGGCTGCCACATAAGGACACACATGCCTTCAGCCCAGAGGATTTATTAATGAAAAGACTCAGCCCCAAACGTTTCTGACCTTCTTGATGGGCTAGAGGTTTCCCCAGACCCTCGAGTTTTACCAGCCTGGGGCCGGTGAGGGCCAGCCTCAGCGGGAGCTAGTTCATCCTCCCTCCTTGGGCCTATAAGCTGGGGTGGGCCGCCCTCCCCTTGCCCTCCCTCGATTCCTGGCAGAGCAGGTTGCTGCCGCAGGAGGTCAGCGCAGGACAGGATGAGGTGTTCAGGAAGTGAGACCTCTGTAACCTCCACATCTGCTATCCTGTACGACAGCACAGGCAGCCTCTTTATAGACAATGGAGGGGCATGGATCTCCTGCCTTTCATGTTCCCGGGCTCATTCCCTGTCAGTCCCTCCCTCGCTCTCCTACTCTCACTCTCTTCTCATTTTTTTCTTTATCTCTGTCCACCTTTCTCTCTCTCTGCACCAACCCCACCTTCTGCCCTTTTTCCTAGCCCTCTCCTGTCACCACTGGATCTCCCCCTCTCCTGCACGCCTTTTCTGTGCGGGAGAAGACTGGAAAGACTTCTTGGAGGAAAGGCTGCCCATCCTCTCAGGCACTTTCCCCTTTTAGATCTCTACATAGAGGCCGTTCTAGCCATAAAGACTGTTCAGCAATGGAATTTACTGTCTTGCTCAGTAATGAGCTCCCTTGTCAGGGAGGCAGTTAAAAGAGGCAGAGTGACCTGAACGTTGTAAAAGAGATTTGACCTTCCTGATTTAGGCTAGACCCCATGACCCTTAATACTGAGATTTTCCCAATATGCATTGCTCCATAATTCAAGTTCATTTCAGGATATCTCGTGTATTAAAAACTACAGACCTGAGACTCATGCAAAAGCAGTTGTATTTAAAGATAATATATTTTTGTTGTGAGAAAGTTTTTTATTCTTTATCATTTGAACGTTTATTAAATTTAGTTTGATATTTAAAGTAATTAATTGTGGTACAGAAATGTTAGAAAACAGACACAAGAAGAAGAAGAAAATTATTCCTAATTCCATACTCCTGACAACAGCAACAGCCACTGTTTTCATTTCACTCCATTTCCTTCTAGCTTTTTCCTTTGTTCATTTTTTGCACAACCCTGTTCGGCTGAGAAGACAGCTTTGTGTCCCTTCTTGGTTTCTTAGCGCCAGGACATGAACATGGTCACTATCTGCGTCGTGTTTAGTGACTGTTTGACATGCATGGAGTGGATGCCTGTGACGTCTTACTTAGTTTTGAAATGACACAGTGCATGAACCTCTTCAGAGACTGCTCATTGTTAAGAAAGGCTTCATATTTCCTCAGAAAGGAACTACCCAACCTCTCACACATCTTGTAAAAGAAGAGCGTGCCCCCAAGTTCCCACAAGGGCGGGGGTGGGATGAACCTGCTTCAAGCCCGATTCTGTGCTACGAGCTGCACCGGGTGCCCGTTAGGCATTGGTTACCTGTGGCCACAGGTGTGTTGTCAGCCCTGTGTCACAGGTGAGGATGCTGGGGTCTGAGACACCGGTTTTCTAGTAAGGTCCTAGCTGTCTGTCTGCAGGCCAGGGCTCCAAAGCTGCAAGGGAACTGCCAGGGTGGATGGGCTCTCAGTCCTGTCGACCCATGGGTAACAGGCCTTTGGGGTTTCAGGATTTCCACGGAGCTGTTGTGAGGGCCTTGGATGAAATGGACCAAGAGGGCAAGGACACATTGGCCAGGGAGGAGCTGAGGCGTGGCCTGAGCGAACTCCCAGCCATCCTCAACCTTCATCAGGGGATCCTGGAGGAGCTGGGAGAGAGGCTGCTGCACTGGTGAGCAGTCCCCGGACTCCCGCCCCAACTTCTGTCGCTCTAGGGGGTTTGGGGGGGTTAGGAACCCCACCACATGAAACGGTGTCTCCATTTGACAGATGTGGAAGTCGAGACACAGAGGTGTGTGGTCATGTGCCTAAAGTAAAACAAGTGTGGGAGGGTCAAGCTGGGGTCTTCAACCAGGGACGTGACTCCAGCTCCCACGTCCAGCACTGTGCTGGTCACAAGGCTGAGTTCTCGCTCTCCTGTCCCCTTCCCGGCTGCAGGGAGGGCCAACAGAAGGTGGCCGATGTCTTCCTGGCCCGGGAACAGGAGTTTGACCACCACGCCGCTCACATCCTGCAGTTTGACAGGTATCTAAGTCTGCTCGCTGAGAACTGCCTCCATTCTCCCCGGCTGGCAGCTGCTGTCCGTGAATTTGAGGTGGGTGCCTTGGTCCTCCGAGAACCTGCTGTAAGGAGACGGGGGTGGAGCTGGGTGGGTATGGCTAAAAGCAAATCGGTGGGGCCTCTAGGTCAGTCTGCAGCTGGGGGACAGAGGGGTGGAGAGGGTGACCCAGCAAGAAGAAGGACCCAGAAGATCCCCTGTTAGGACAATCAGTGACCACTCAGTGAGCCCCAGCCACAGCGAGAGTTTCAGGGGCCCTTTCTTCTTGGTCCCAGCAGAAAAGTACAAAGTAAGGTGGAGGCCCAGCCATTTGAGTGACAAAAAAAAAAAATGGCCACCAGCTGGGGATCCAGTTACTGGGCAGAAAAACGCAGTGCTTTCTGCTATTACTAACATTAGGTGCACAGCTGGGACTGCAAGAGCCATATGGCTGAGTATAGCACAGACTGAATTGTCACAGCAGGTGGTGCTCCTCTGGGAGGGCTTCCTGGAGGAGGGGGAACTGGTTTGGAGATGGTGGAAGCTCAGTTTGGCCAGGAAGAGGTGTGGCTAGGACAGTGCAGGTGGGGATTCAGGAGCCCAGTTCCTGAAGGCCAGGGTCCCTGATGGAATTTTGTCCTCCCTGTCTCTTGGGAACAGCAGAGTCAGCAAGGAGGCGGCCAGAACGTGAAACACAGGCTGCTGCGGGTGGTTCAGCGCCTCTTCCAGTACCAAGTGCTCCTCACAGGTGGGCCCCATGGGAGGCAAGGCGCACTGAGACTGTGGGGAGGGAGGGCCCTTGAGGAGGGGGGTGGGGTGATGATGGCAAGATGTGTGATGGTAACCTCCTAGGAGGAGTGGGGGGGGGGGGGGGAAGGACCGCTCTCAGTTCCTGCCTCCTGCCTCTCCAGAGGGACCAGACCCTGCCACCACCTTCTCTCCAGCTGAGCTTTGGGCCCTCTGCTGCCATCTTGGGAGCCGCACTGCAGGGGCCACCTCCTGTGTCTTCCTCCAACCTCACCCATCCTAAACACAAACACACACGTTCCCACATTCTTCATTTCCTCCCAGTCTTAGTGGGTGGCTGCTTTCCTGAAGCGGCTCTTACCAGGAAAGTGCCCCTTGTGGCTGAATCCGTGGCATTTCCCACCCGGACCTTCCGGCCCTCTCTGTGGCTTTGTCACTGACCACCTCCTGCTCCAGCCCATCCACCCTGGGACCTCTGTGACTCCCTCTCTCCCTGGCCTCTCTCTGACTGCTCCGTCATCTCTGATAGCAACCTTGCTTCTTCCACTGTCCCATACATGACTTCCACTGTGTCTCTTGGAAGTCAGTCCTCAGTCCTCTTTTCCTCTCTACAAATTCTTCCCAGGAAATGTCATCCCCTTTGCTCCCTCCACCTGCCAGAAACACACACACCTCTGCCCAGAGCTCCAGACCCATGTACTCGATTGCCTTGTAAGTGGACAAAGACCCCTTAGCCTGAGGAACCGGCATTCCAATGGGGGAGATAGACACATACCTAGTGATACGCATGTACATCCACGTAGTGACCAAGGCCGTAAGAAAACTACATTAGAGCCAGGAGACAGAATTCATTCATCTAATTCAACACATATTGATTGGGCATCCCCTGTGCCCCAGGCCCTGTTATCTCTATGCTAGAGATATAGCAGTGAATTAAACAGCCAAACTTTATAACACTGTGGAGCTTGTCCTCTAACAAACAAATAAGGAAATAAAAATATTATTATATGTTGGTGATAAGAGTGCTGAAGGAAGATAAAGCAGGTGAACAGCGCTCTGATGAGACACAGCACTCAGGAAAGATCACTCTGAGGCGGAGGCATTTCAGAGATCTCGGCGAAGTGAGGACATGAGCCTTATGAAGATCTGGAAGAAGGAAGTGCGAGGTAGAAGGGACACAGAGTGCAAAGGCCCTGGGGTAAGAAGAAGCTTAGCATGTGCAAGAAATAGCAGAAAGCCGGCACTGCCAGAATGAGTGAGTGACACGGAGAGGCAGCTGGAGCGAGGCCAGCCCGTGTTGGGCTTTGTGAATAAGAATGTGTTAAAACATCTCACTCTACTGTGTTGACAGTCACGGCTGTCTCCCCCCGGACATGTGCTTCTCAGAGGCAGGCTCTCACCTTGTTTGTGTCTCTATCCTGACGGCATGGCACAAAGTCAGGCACACAGCAGTTGCTCATGAGAGAATGACTAATCGTGGTGGCAGTGGTGCTGGTGGCAGACCTGGAGGCCTGATATTGTGGCAGTATCGTGGTGTGATAGGGCTAAGAAGGGTGTCCACCCTGTCCATTCTCTGGAAACTTTTCTTCCACTTCTGGAGGGAGAGGAGCCCCTTCTGTGGACAGGAGGGGCTGCCTCACCTGGGCAAACTGACTCCTGGCTCTTGTTCTGTCTGCAGACTATTTAAATAACCTTTCCCCGGACTCAGCTGAGTATGATAACACACAGGGTAAGTTCAGCATGAACCCCCGGCGTGGGGGTGTGTGTGGGGGAATCACAGTTCTGTTTTGTCCCAACTCTAGATACTACATCAGTTCTAGGCCCGGGATATAGTCCGCTCCCCACCAGCTGGGGGTGCAGTGACAGGAAGCTTCTAAGGCTTCTGACGGGATTCTCCAGAATGGAGAACGGGCTCTGGTCCAGTCAGGAGGAGAAGGGGCAGTGCCACGTCGAAAACTTGATAGGAGGCAGTGCCACATCTAAAACACTCACCTGTGTCCCTGTTTCCTCTCAATTCTATGTGGCTGTCCATATGACCTGTCAAATGGTCAAATTACTGTTATGTGGCAAAGCTAGGGTTGGGCCTGTGACCTGACCCAGCCGTGGGAAAAATTGGTGCTGAAATTTACAAGGCCCTGAAAATGCAGTGATCTCAGGAGGTGGAGTGGGGAGGGAAGAAGACAGGCAAGAGGTGAAGATGGTGGCAACTAGACCGGCCCTCCCCAGAAGGCCCAGCTGTCTGCTCTGCTTCCCTCCTCAGGCGCGCTGACCCTCATCTCCAAAGTCACAGACCACGCCAACGAGAGCATGGAGCAAGGGGTAAGTCCAGCCTCCAGGCTCCTTCTGTGGGGTCCAGGCCCAGGACTCCCTCCTCCATGCCCAGGTCTGCCTGGGAGTACAACTTATGTACTATACACAGCACAGGCTTAAAGTGTACAGTTAAATAAGACTTGATGTTTGTGTGTACCTGTGAAACCATCTCCATAATTAAAATGCTGAACATATCCATGGCCCCAAAGAGTTTTCTTGTACCCCTATATCATCCCTTATCCCCAGCTCTCAGGCAGCCACTGGTTTGCTCTTTGTCACAATAGATTAATTTTCATTTTCTAGAATTTTATAAGATAGCATTATTCAACATGTACTCTTTTTTTTTTTTGGTCTGCTTCTTTCACTCGTTTTTTGGATATGTGATGTACAGTTATTTACCCCCAACCTATGGCATGTCTTTTCATTCTCTTCGCAGAGTCTTTGGAAGATCAGAAGTTCTTAATTGTAATTTTAAAAAGCCCACTTTATTATTTTTTATTATTTTTTAATTTTTTTATGGATCATGTTATAGCTAAGAAATCTTTGCATCACTCAAGTTTACAAAGTTTTTCTATTCTGGTCTTTATATTTTAGAAGTTTCCTAGTTTAAAATATTATATTTAGGTCTCTTAATCCATTTTGAGTTTATATACTAGAGGCCCAGTGCATGGATTCATGCACTGGTGAAGTCCCTCGGCCTGGCCCACAGGGATAGGACTGAAACCAGCTCTCCGACATCCCCCAAGGGGTCCTGGATTGCAAGAGAGCAATGGCCAGGCTGAGGGACCCCACTAGTGCACGAATTCATGCACCAGACCTCTAGCATGCATATAAGATCTTTGGTTAATCTTTTCCTGCCCTTCCCAATCCCTGCTTCCCTCTGAGATTCATCAGTCTGTTCCATGCCTGTGCATTGAGCATCTGCCCCCTGGTGGTGAGTGCGTGTCATAGCTACCAGTCACATGGTTGTTTAGGCTTTTATATCTAGTTCCCATCATTCATCATCCATGTACTTGATTGGTCAGTTTACCAATTCTTGAGAGATATTTTTCCTGAATATAGAAATCTGAATTGACCACTTTTTCTTTCAGTACTTTTAAAATGCCACTCCACTGTCCTATGGCCTGCATAGTTTCTGATTTGAAATCTGCTGTAATGGTGGTATTTCTCTTTCTTATGTAATGTGTTTCTTTAATCTAGCTGCCTTCAAGATCTTTTCTTTAAATTTGACTTTTAGAAGTTTGACTATGATATCTAAGTTTGTGTGATTTTAGGAGCTATGGTGCTTCCTAGATCTGTGATTTGTTGTGATTCACTAATTCCATTTTGTAAATTAATTTATCTTTCACTTACAGTTGACGTACAATATTATATTTCAGGTGGTCATTCGTTTCTTTTGGAAATTTCTGTTGGTTGCTCTTTTATTTTATTTCCCCCCAGCACTTTTTTTTTTCCCCTTTGTGTTTCAGTTTGGTTAATCTCTGCTTACCTAACTCCAAGTTCATTGATTTCTATTCCTCGTGTGCAGTTTGTTGCTAAACCCATCAAAGGAATTCTCCATATGTGACACCATATTTTTCATTTTTAATATTTCCATTTGACTATTGTATAGTTTCCATTTCTGCTGAAATTCTCTATCTGTTCATGCATGCTGTCCTTCTTTTCCACTAGCTCCTTGAACATATTAATCATATTTACTCTGTAGTCCCTGTCTGATGATTCCAACAGTATGTCATCTCTCATTATGGTTTTATTTGAATGCTTTACCACTTGAATATTAGTTGGGGTTCTTTCTGGCTTTTTTTGTGTGTGTTTATTATAGTGTTTGGTTGAATTTCAAATTTTGTGTGTAGAGACTGAGGGAAATATCTATCCCCAGAAGTGGATGTGCCTATTTATTATTATTATCATTACTTTGTCATGCTGTTACAGGGCCATAGGAGTTGGGTCAATCCAGGAAATGAATTGGGTTCGGGTTTTTTGTCACCATTGTCACCTTCAGCACCCCACAGATTTGATTCTCCTCTAGAAGGGGATTGTTGTTACCTGGTACTGTTTGTGGGGCCTAAAATGCCAGAGTTTTCCTTATATTCCTGCTGCCTTGTCAGCTTTTAGCCTCTCCCCATGCTCTTGCCCCTTCTTGAGGTAGCTACTGTTTCCTGTTACTCAGTGCTAGGCTCACAAACCGTGGCTCTTCAGGACAAGCTTCAGTCTTAAGCAGGGCCTGGGGGCCGGGCTCTCAGCATTCCTGCCCCTCCCCTGCATGGCAGCCATGCTCCTGTGGCAGGCCTTGGAGGTTTCTGCCCTGTATTATTGTACCATCCTGGACCCAAGGAGTTATGCCCCCCTCTCCTTGGGACAGACAGCATTTGTTTTACCACCAAGGGCAAGGAGCCTGTTCTTCCTGGCCCCCTGCCCTCCCCCACTCTTCCTGTGAGCACTTGGTGGAAACTTCTGGAAAAGAGCGTGTAGATCTTTCTCGTGTCTGGGCCTCTGTGTTATTCTGAACTGCCCCACCAGCCCACACTTGCCCTTTAAGAAACGGTTAACATTTCAGCCGCTTTCTATTGTGTGCCAACCACCTCTTCCCTCCTGCACGTCGCCAAAGGCACCATGATTCTATCTTGGTTCTATCTCTGCGGAGGGGCTTGTCTGCCTTTGGAATGTCATTCATTTGGTTGCCTTGTGACCTCAGCTCTCCAAGAAGCCTAAGACGGTTTACAGTTTCGTAGATTGCCTGTTTTTGTTTTTGTTTTCTCACTGTTATGGTAGGGCGTTGTTTTCTTGCAGCCTTCTACATCATCGGTGGAAATGGAACAACTATCAAACATTTCTAATGTGTAGGATTTTATGCCCAAAACTATGAACCGTGTCAAGGCCTTTTCAGGACAATTTCTCTGCACACAGCTTTTACCTCATTAGTTGACTTTAGAACCTGACCCTGTGCTAGGTTCAAGGGGCACCTGCTTGTTACTTCTGGAATTATGGGGTGCTGTGCAGTGGGGAAAAGGGCTGTCCCATTATATATTGTGGATGACCCAGTGGGGGACTGATAGGAGTTCTCAGGCAGGCACACTACCTTTCTTCAAGGAGTACAGACCCATTTTTTCTCCCCAAGGGGTGAATTTTCTTGGTTACTGTTCCTCTGAGGCCACACCCTGGTCTGTAATCCCAGAGAGACAGACTGGCCTTGGGTGTCTGTCATCTCTGGGTTACTGAAGTCTGGATGCCCTAGGCCTTATGGGAGACACAGGCTTAGAGTAGGTGCAGTGGCCCAAAGACAAATGGCGTGTTGGATGGCAAAGCAAGGCCAAGAGACCATCGCCATGGTGTGCAGAAAGGTGACAGTGTCAGACCTCAGGCCCGGAAGGACTAGCCTGATTATGGGCAGTCCACACACAGCATCCTGCAGACCCAGGCTCAGGCCGCAGTCCTGACCCTGATGGGAGTTCAGATTTGGAGCAAGGTCCTTCTGGGCTCCATTTTCCTCCTCTGAAGCAGAAGCCATACCACCCCTTACAGAGGCGATAAGACCCCTTGAAGGGGTCCTGACCGTCTCTCCCTCACCCTGTCCCACCCACAGGAAAACCTGCAGAAGCTTGTCCACATCGAGCACAGCGTTCGTGGCCAAGGGGATCTCCTCCAGCCAGGAAGGGTGAGTGCCACCGCCACCATGGGCAGGGGCAAGGGCGTACTGGCAGCAGGCGGGCGAGGCTCTGATAAGCCCCATTGTTCAGCTGGCCTGGCCCCAGACAGGCCTGGCTGCAGGTGCTGTTTACCCGAGGAGAAGGGAGGGCAGGGCTGAGCTCACAGGGCCCATGGACTGCCTCCCCTGGGGTTTTCCACTCTCATGGCCTTTAAAGGAACAGTGCCATTTGGGTTCCGTGTTCCCTGTGGTTCTCCTCACCTCTAAGAAGAAGCGACACCAAGTATTTTTAGGTTAGTCCATCATTGCTGAGAAATCAGGAACACCAACTCTCAAGAGCCCTAACACGGCATTTAAAAAAAAACAACAACACATTTTTCAGCAGGTAAATTTATCAACTTCTTTAAATTTTAAATTTTATTTTTAAAAAATATATTTTATTGATTTTTTTACAGAGAGGAAGAGAGAGGGATAGAGAGCTAGAAACATCAATGAGAGAGAACCATCAATCAGCTGCCTCCTGCACTGGGGATGTGCCTGCAACCAAGATACATGCCCCTGACTGGAATCTAACGTGGGACCTTTCAGTCTGCAGGCTGACGCCCTATCCACTGAGCCAAACCAGTTTCAGCTAAATTTTTTATTTTTATTAATTTCAGAGAGGAAGGGAGAAGGAAAGAGAAGTAGAAACATCAATGAATGATAAGAGAAAATCATTGATCACCTGCCTACTACATACTCCCTGCTGGGGATCGAGCCTGCAACCTGGGCACGTACCCTGACAGATAATTGAACCGTGACCTCCTAGTTCATATGTCAACGCTCAACCACTGAGCCATGCCAGCTGAATAATGTATCCACTTTTAAGCTTCCAATGGAAAACATAAAACTCAGCTCAAAGATAGTAAAAAATGTGTTCATCACCTATTACAGTTGATGAAGGACAAGAGACAAAGAATTGAGATATGGTGCTCAAATTTTACTCAAAATTAGCATAGCTTTCATCACTAGTCTGAGATTCTATAAAATCACAATGTTTTGGCCTGGGTCATCAGTAAATATTTACTAAGCATCTATTAGTATGTTCCAGAATTTCAAGGGGGATATACCAACTGTTCATGCAGCTGTTTTAGCAAACCTTCCATGGCTTTGTTCTGGATGGACTTGTGGCAGCAAACCAGGGTGAGAGTCACTGTTTGGACCACTCTGGGGCTTGGTGTAATTCAAGGTGGAAGTTCCTGAAAAGCCAAGTGGTCTGTCTCCAGAGCTGCTAGAGCATACACAGAGCATCTCGCTCTTCTAAAAAAAAAAATTAAAATTTTACTGATTTTAGAGTGAGAGAGAGAAACATTGATTTGTTGTTCCACTTATTTATGCATTCATTAGTTGATTCTTGTATGTGCCCTAACCGGGGATCAAACCCACAACCTTGGTGTATCAGGACGATGCTCTAACCAACTCAGCTACTTGGCCAGGGCCCAGAGCCTCTCTCCTAGGCTGGGAATTCCCCCCAGAGCTGCTCTCTGGTCTTCCAGGAAGCATCATAACTTCAATTTCCCACTCAAGGGCCTCCCACTCTTCTCAAGGGCATCAGCCTGACCACCGATGTCTGCTCCTCTCCCCACAGGAGTTTCTGAAGGAAGGGACACTGATGAAAGTAACAGGGAAAAACAGACGCCCCCGTCACCTGTTCCTGGTAAGTACCTGCCCCCCTTCCCCCAAAACCAAGCCCTGGGACTCTCAAGTTCTGTGGGTTTCTAGGACTAGTATCCAAGGACAATTGGAAGTCAGCGGAGAAGACTAGAACAGAGCAAAATCTGTAGGATGAGGATTATTCTGTGTGCTGAGCTTCCCAGAAAGCTTGAGAGTTTAACCCTTGGAAATCACCACCCATCTCTAATTTATTTATTTATGTAAATTTTCTCCACATCCCTCATTTATGATTTCAGCGATTTTGATGGGATGGTACCAAAATTTAAACATTCTAAAACCAGGAATAAATGTCCAACTGCTTTATCAAATGCATGAGGAAACAGATCCAGAAAAGAGTTGACTTGGCCAGATCTCTCAGCAAGTTGGTAGCAGAACCCTGGGGGAACCAAAGCTGCACCCTGAGTCCAACACTCTCTACTGTGCACAAGACAGAATATAATGTAACATTTTTGGTGACTTATAGCTACGGTCTGGCATACCAGGGAATGTCCAGGCCTAGGATGTAGTAACATCAACCTCAGTGGCTGCTAAGCTACAAGCAGCTCTTTGTCCTTCCTGCCAGCTGTCTCTTACCCGCTCCCATGAGAATCCCTCACTCTGGCTGGTTTGTGCTGTGTTGCAGGGGAGAAATTTGGCCACAGGCAAGAGACTAGAACCCCAGCAGGAACTTTGAAAGGTGCCTTTGAAAGTGGATAGTTCAGAGTGGATAATTCACTGGATAGTTTGAGTTCTCAAAAGGATCGCCAAGTCTCCGCAGATGCTTGAGTTCCTTTCTCCGGGTAGTTTGTTGAACTCTGCATATACCCCTGGTGACAGGGAGCTCATTGCCTATTATGACACTCATTAATTCTGCAACTCCTTATCCATCTCCTTCTGTGGGCCAAGATCTGTGAGAATATATAGACATGGCCCCTGCCCTCTTGTGGATCTTGGAGTCCAGTGAGGAATGTCATCCTTTGTTCCATATTAGAGTCTAAATATTTGAAAACTCCTTCTATTAAGCAGAAGTTCATACCCTTGAATTTTGGAGATCTGTGTGGCAATGAGCTGGTTAGATATAGATCTGATACTTAGCCCCTCTGTAACCCTTTAGATCACACACATGTCTGAGCCTCGATTTCCCACAGGGAAAGTGGAAATACCGGGCAGTTTGGGGGAATTAAATGAGGCCCATAGAAGCAGCTTGTTTGGTAATAATTTCCACCCTTCCATTTGACACTTACCCTGTAGGACACAGGCCCTTCCTCTGCTCAGAGCTATAGAGTCATCAGCTCCCTCTGCCCCAGCACAGCTCACACCTGGGTCCCAAGGCTTTGCTTCTCCAGAATGAAAAAGGGAGCCATCCAGGATGGTGATGAGGAATACTGGCTTTGGAGTCAGACAGCCTGGATTCTCATGCCAGCTCTGACTTACTGGCTGTGCAACCCATGGCAGGTCCTGTTCCTTCTCTGAGCTTCAGTGTCCTTCTCTCCACAAGGAGGGAAGTAGTTCCTCCTGTAACTGAAGGAAGTGCTTGAAGGAAGTGGAGGGAGCTCCTCCATCTTGATTCTCATCTGGCCAGCTCCTCTGGCTTTGTCCCTTTCACAGGGACTTTGAATGCCAGGCACAGACACAGTGTCCTTCCTCGCTCCTTCCCTCCCCCACTTTCCACCCTCCCCTTCCTCCCACTTCTCTTTCCCTTTCCCATGCTCCCTCCAGCATCTAGTTGACTCTTCTTCATAGCCTCTCTGTCACTCAGGCATGATGTCTGGCCTGGGTCTCTCTGGTTCCCTGTCATTGTTAATCTTCCTACCCTTACCCCCCACCCCGCCCCACAGCCTGAACCCAGGTCCCCTTCTCTCTCTCAGCACAGGACTTTCTACTAAGTAGGTGTTAGTAATATCCTCTTAGCAGTGGTTCTCAACCTTTCTAATGCCAAGACCCTTTAATACAGTTCCTCATGTTGTGGTGACCCCAAGCATAAAATTATTTTCGTTGCAACTTCATAACTGTAATTTTGCTACTGTTAATTAATTGTAATGTAAATATATGAGCTTCCCGATGGTCTTAGGCTCTACAGCAGCGGTTCTCAACCTGTGGGTCGCCTAAGACCGTGGTCGGCAAACTGCAGCTCAAGAGTCACATGCGGCTCTTTGGTCCCTTGAGTGTGGCTCTTCCACAGAATACCCCTGCCTGGGCGAGTCTGTTTTGAAGATAGTGGCGTTAGAAGAAGTTTAAGTTTTAAAAATTTGGCTCTCAAAAGAAATTTCAATCGTTGTACTGTTGATATTTGGCTCTGTTGACTAATGAGTTTGCTGACCACTGGCCTAAGACCATCAGAAAACACAGATATTTACATTACAATTCATAACAGTAAGAAAATTACAGTTATGAAGTAGCAACAAAAATAATTTTGTGGTTGGGGTCAGCACAACATGAGGAACTGTATTATATTAAAGGGCTGCGGCATTAGGAAGGCTGAGAACCACTGCTCCAGAGGGATAGACAGCAAGAGGACAGACAGACAGGTTCTTGAGCCAGAAAGCACCATGGCGAACACAGTAAGGAACAACTTTTATTCTTCGTAAGGTGCCGGTTTCACAAAATAATCTTCACTGCACAATAAAGTCAGGGCATCTGCCCACCAACACAGTTTTTCAGTGATGCTATGGATGGCCCCGCGTCCCATCCAGTCCCAAGAGATGGGTGGTACTTGATGTGAGAAATCCGCACTTTCTCCTCCATGAAGAATTTCTCTTCCTTCCTCTAAATTGGGGCTGTAAAACACATGCTTTGCAGAAGAAAGGAGAACCGTGGGCAATTAGGAAGCAGCCTGGTCCTGACCCCTGTCGGTAAAACCTCAGGGTGCTAATGGCAGTTGCCATGGCAGCAGGTGCTTAAGGGGCAGTCAGAAAAGGCTGGGACCACTCCAGTGAGTGACACAGGCAGGTTCCTCAGAATAGGCTAATGACCGAGGCTCTGTATGAGGTTTGGTCACTGTCCCTGGGTGGCCGCCCCCAGCACACCACACCGCACCTCAATGCACTGGAGGCACACTTATTTAATTCACAACCCAGCTCTGCCACCTTAGGCACATTATCTAACCAATCCGTGACTCAGTTTCTCCTGTCCGTGGCTGCTCTGGGGCTACAATGGCAAAGTTGAATAGTCGTCACAGAGACCGTATGGCCCATAGAGACTTAACTATTTATTATCTTGCCTGTTCAAACGTTTGCTGGCCCTGTTTTCCTGCTCCAGTTTGAGACAGGGAGGCCCAGAGACAGGAAGGGTTTGTCCGAGGTCACACAGCAGCTCAGTGTCTCGGCCAAGCCTCTGACAGTCCCAGGAAGAACTAGTGAGAGGAAAACTCATCCCTTCTGTCCCCTCCGCGGACTCTGTCCGCAAGAAAGGGAAGTGTTAACCCTGAGCTCTCGCCCTGCTTCAGGCCTTGGATGCCACGCTCTGTTCAGCGCCTGATTTACTTGGCTCCCGTGCACAGAGGGCTCACTCAGGGCCGTTCTCTCTCGGCATCCGTAATGAGGCAGGGGCAGAGGTGGTCCCAGCTTCCCTGGGAGGAAGCTGAGGCTCAGAGAGGGAAACAGCTTGTCCATAGTCACACAGCAGCTACAGAGGGAGGGTCAGGGTTGACAGCCCACATACCACCCGGAGTGTGAGGTGTTTTTTTTCAAACTAAACCTTTTGGCCAAACAAACATAGATTCCTAAGGAGGAGAAGTGACTTTCATTATGTTTCTTCCTGTCGGCCTTGCATGGGGATGGGGAGCTTTAGTTGTTCGTTCAACAGATATTAAATGAACACCTACTATGTCACTGCAGCTCCCTATCCTCAAGGATCTTCCTCGCTCCCTTCCTCTCTCCCTTCCTTCCCTACCTCTCTTCTCCCTCCCTCCTTCCCCTCTTTCCTTAAATATGCTTCACAGAGGTTTGATTTATACAGAGTAAGAGACGTCCGTCTTACGTGTAGATGCCAAAGTATATTGACAAATCTGTATCATCATGTACTGCCACTTGCGTCAAGATCTAGAACATTCCAGCCCTCCAGAAAGCCCCCCTGTGCTCCTTAGCAGTCACTTCCCCCACCCCTGCCCCAGGCAACCACGGGCCTGATTTCCATCACAGATTCCTTTTGCCTGATCTGGAGCTTCATGTGAATGTTACCGAGCAGTGTGTTCTCAGTATCTGGCTTCTTTTCAATCAGCGTGTTTTGGGCTTCATCCGTGTCATTGTGTTTATCGTCAGTTTGTTCTTTTCGATTGCTGTGTGGTATTCCATAGTGTAGATGCACCACAGTTTGCTAATGCACCCACCTGTTGATAGCTGGATTGTTTCCACTATTTGACTATTGCAAATAATGCCTGTACGCACGTCCCTGTACCTGACTTTCTGTGGGCACTGCATGAATTCCCCTGGAGTCTTCACCTAGGAGTGGAACTGTGGGGAAGGTGCTCCCACGTTAGGCCACGGCGGTTCGGCTCTCTCGCGGGGGCCAGTGGGGAATGCAGGGTGCCTGTGCACCCGGTGCTCAGTGATCCTCAGGACAGAAGCCCAGCACAGCCTTCTGGGACCAAGCCTTGTGTGATGAGGTTTCCTTCTCCCCAGATGAGCGACATGCTCCTGTACACGTATCCCCAGAAGGATGGGAAGTACCGGCTGAAGAGCACGTTGGCCGTGGCCAGCATGAAGGTAAATGCTTGATGCTAGGCATCCTGGGGCGGTCAGGGGAAACCCCAGGGGAGCAGGGGACAGTGTCCCTGCTGCTGAGAGCTCACAGGCCATCTGGGAAGAGCGGTCCAGAGGAACAGTGCTACGTGGAGGGTTACAGCAGGATTACGCTATCGCTAGGCCAGGGAGGGGGTGGGGGGGGGGGCGGGGAGGGAGGGAGGAACGATGAGGAGGGCTTCCTGGAGGAAGGGAGCCGAGTCCCTGAGAGAGCAGGATATGTGGACAGATGGGGAAGGGTGCTTTAGGAGGAAAGAAATGTGTAAGCAAAGGCTTGGAAGGAGGAAACAAGTATGTGTGTGTGGTGAATTTTTTTAATCGTGGTAAAATGTACATACAAATTACCATGGTAACCATTTTTAAGTACACAGTTCAGTGGCATTAAGTGCATTCACATTGTTTTTGCAACCATGACCGCCATTCATCTTCCCAAATTGAAACTTCGCACCCACCAAGCACTAACTTCCCATTCCCACTTCTTTTTCTCTCTTTATGATTTTTTTTAATGTGTTAAATTTTGTTGTTGTGAATCCTCACCCGAGGATATTTTCCCATTGATTTTTAGGGAGAGTGGAGAAGAGAGGGAAAGACAGAGAGAAACATTGATGTGAGAGAAACACATCATTTGGTTGCCTCTTGCTCAAGCCCTGACCAGGGCCCCGCTGAGGAGGAGCCTATAACCAAGGTACGGGCCCTTAACTGGAATCGAACCCAGGACCCTTTGGTCTGCAGGCCAACACTCTATTCACTGAGTACACCGGCTAGTGCTTTATTAAATTTTTTATTATATAAGTTTCAGGTTTACAACGTTATAACTTATACACTAAGAAGTGATCATCCTCAAAAGTCTAGTTACAACCCATCACCACAGTGGATCCCCTTCACTCTTTTGCCCCCCCTTCTCCCCCAAGTCCCCTTATCCTCTGGTAATTGTCAATATTTCCTCCGTATCTGAGTTTATTATTATTTTTGTTTGTCTTTTGGCTCCACATGGAGTGAAATCATACATTATTTGTCTTTCTCCTCCTAATTTATTCCCAGTATACCTTCAAGGTCCATTCATGTTATTACAAACTAGAGGCCCAGCGCATGAAATTCATGCATGGGGTTGGGGGCTCCTCAGCCCAGCCTGCACCTTCTCCAATCCGGGACCCCTCAGGGGATCTCCCTGATGGGGCCTACACTGGCAATCAGACATGCCTCTCGCAGTCTGGGACCGCTGGCTCCTAACTCCTCTGCCTGCCTGCCTGATCATCCCTAATTGCTCCCCTGCTAGCCTAATTGGCCCTAACCATCTCTGCTTTGGCCCAGGATTCCCTCCTTAAGAAAAAGGGTCACAGGCACCTGGTACCTGGGCTTCCCTCCCTCTGGCTGGCCGCAGCTGCAGGTGACCGTAGGCAGGCGGCTTGTCCCTTTCCCAGGTGGCAGCCACAGCCACTAATGCCGGAGAAGCCGCCCGCCCCGGCTTCGTCACGAAGGACGTGGGAAGACCTCCAGTCTAATTAGCGTATTACCCTTTCATTAGTATGGATGGCAGGATTTCACTCTTTTTATGGCTGAGTAATAGTCCGTTATATAAATGAACCACATCTTCTTCATTCATCTATCAATGGGCACTTAGGTTGTTCCCATATCTTGGCTATTATAAGTAATGCTGCAGTGAACATAGAAGTGCATATATATTTTTTGAATTAGTGTTTTTATTTTCTTCAGATAAAGGGAATCAAGTAGAATAGCTGGATTTTATGGTAGTTCTATTCTTAATCTTTTTTGAGGCATCATCCCCATACTGTTTCCCATAGTGGCTGCACCGATTGATAATCCCACTAACAGTGTACTAGTACATGGGTTCCTGCTTTGGCAGCTCGTAGAAGTGTAATCACACAGTATTTGTCTTTTGCAAGTGGCTTACTTCACTTAACATTATGTCCTCAAGGTTCATCCGCGCTGTAACATGTATTGGAATTCCCTTACTTTTTGCTTGAATAATAGTCCATTGTACATATTGCACCATCTTTTGTTTGTCCCTTCCCTCATGGGTGGACAGTTGGGTTGCTTCCACCTTTTGACTATGGTAAATAATGCTGCTCTGTGCTCAATATCTGTTCAAGAGGCAGACGTTTTTTTAAACAAATGTAAGAAAGATGCCAGCCTCGCTGGATAGTCTCGTGGGTAAAGACAGAGAGACAGGACGGAAGGGGCCCTCGTCATGTGCGGCCTGACAGAGTGTAACTCCATCCCACAGACAAGGATAGCTGGGAGCTGATGGAGATGCTTGAGGGCTTAACGGGCGGGAGGTTTTAGGAAGTTAGTTCTGTCAGTGGGGTCAGACAGGGAACACTGAGGTGGGAGAATGCAGCGGGAGGTGCAGAGGGGAGGGGAACCGTTGGAGGCATTGTGGGGGCCTCTCTCCCTCCTGGAAGCTCTTTTCATGAGGAGGAGGAAGCAGACAGCACCTTCTCAGCAGAGAGGGTTGTTCTCTTTTGAACCAAAGGATCCACTGAGGAGCCTGTTGGGCAAGGGAGTGGGAGAGATGGTCACAGAGCAGGTATTCGTACAGCAGGATGTCTGGGCCCTGAGAGGGAAGCTCCACGGCATTCCTGGGGGTGGGCAGTGGCCAAGGACCATAGAGTCAGAGCCAGAGTTGGCAGCCAGGCCCCACCACACACACACACACACACACACACACAAACACACACACACACACACGCACTCACACACACACACACACACACACACACACACATTATCTGCCATGTCTCTGAGCATCAGAGGAAACTCAGGCTCAGAGAGGGACAGTGGCAGGACCAAAGGAAAAATCGAGTCTATGGTTGCCCCTTCATGCCCCACACCCCTCCACTGAGGGTGCCTCTATTGGTTTCCAGGTCAGCCGCCCCGTGATGGAGAAAGTGCCCTACGCCCTGAAGATTGAGACTCCTGACTCCTGCCTGACTCTGTCTGCAAGGTATGGGGAGGAGGAAGGAGGGAAGGCCTGGGGACGGGTGCGAGGGAGGGAAGGGACAGAGTTTTCCAGGTGGGAAAGTTTGGAATAATAAGTGTTGGATGCGTCTTCGGTTTCATTTTGGTACTAGAGGCCCGATGCACGAAATCTGTGCAAGGGGCTTGGCCCCCACCACCATGGCTTCATCAGGAAGGTTGTCTGGAAGGACGTCGGAAGGACATCCGGTCGAATTAGCATGTTATGCTTTTATTACTATAGATTCTTTGCATCAAAGAACTTCTTTTCGGTGTTTCTTAACCATTTTTGAACCACAGGCTACTTTGAGAATATGATAAAACTGGCTTCTCTTCCCCAAAATAAATGTGCATGTACATAAAATTTTACATAGAACTTTGGGGGTTTGTAAAGCCCTTTTTCTTAAAATATAACAATACCTCATGGTTGTAAAACTCCACAGATTATCTGGTCTTTATAGCAACACGAAAAGTTAGGGCGAGTCAAGAATGCATTGTGCGCCTTATTTAATAGACGACCGTTACGTTCAGGCTTTCGTGTCCGGAGAGAAAAAACAATGAGCGAGCTCTCCCTGTTTTGGGGTTCAGCCTTTCTCTCAAAACCCTGTGTTTTTTTTCCCTCCAGACCCTCAGGATGCCGAGGGGTCCCTCCTTGCTGGCTTTAGGCAGTGAAAGAGGTTCACCTCCCTCACCCTGCACACTCCCCTCTCCCCCACCCCTGCTTTCCGGGCAAGGCCAGCTCAAGCTCAGAAACCAAGACCTCCCTGGGCATGGTGGGTGGACAGGCTCCCTCTCAGGTGTGCGTGACCCAGGGCTGGCAGCCGTGTCCAGGGTGGGGTGGAGGTTCTGGTGCACACACTGACCCACACTCTGCCTCATAGATGTGTTTGGTCGTTAAGCCTCTATCAGCCGCTCCTGGTGGCCAGGTTCTGTGCCGAGGACACACATGATTTAAGCCTTGGTTTGCTCAGGGTAGGGGGAGCCCACGTTCTGGGTGGGACTTACGAAACTGGTTACAATACAGAACGAAACTGCTGGAAGAATTCATAGTGGTGATGGCAAGAGTACCCTGCATGGGGCACCTGCTGCGTCTCAGGCCCCTCCTCGGACCCTCATCATCACCCTCGGAGGGGGGCCTGGCAGTTCCTCCCATGCCTGGGGAGTTGAGGCCTGGAGATGGGTCACACAGCCCACGTGAGGCAAAACGGGGTTCAGATGCAGGGCTGTGTGATCCCGAGTGCTTTTCCACTGCCGTCTACTGCCTGAGGGGTTAAAAAAAAAAAAAAAAAAGCCTTAGAAATTCCAAGGAGTGACCCCATCTGCTGGAGAAAGGGGAGGCTGCCTGGAAGAGGCGATGCCTGGGTGGAGTTCCCCGGCCTCTTCTCCCCTCACCTCCAGGTAAAATCAGAGACCTCGCGAGACCCAGGATGTGGTTTCTGTTTGTCCCACCATCAGGTGAGGGTGGTGGCAGGCTAGGCTCAGCCCTTCGGATGGGGCTGCCCATCTCTCTCAGGCGGGGACACTGCCTTTCGGCCAGTGGACTCAAGAAGCCCCTGTCACTGACAGGCCGGTCACCTTCCCGCTAACCCAGACACTCCACACCGCAGCCTCCGGGGTCAGCGGACCCACACATCTCCTTTTAGGGACTTGGCGTCTGGCTGGCCGCCACCCTTCCTCCCTCCCAGGCCAAACTGGTCCCTCTCTGGCTGAGCCCGCAGACTTTAGTGTAGGATGGGAGCGCCACCTGGTGGGCCCTGCAAGAACAAGGCAGCTCACAGCCCAGTGGCCACCTTCCAGGCACAGAGCCGGAATGCGGGAGGTCAGCTTGTGGGATGAGTGTCTAGGAAGTGATGTGAGAAACAGGGGGCCGTTGGAGAGACTGAGACCTTGGCTGTTTCCAGCTTCTATCTACCTTCTCCCCTGCCCCCTGCCTGACCATACCTCCTAAAGTGTGGGCCCCTCAGAGCTTCCCTCCCTGGCACCCCTTGCTTCGCTGTTGACAAAGTCCATCTACATCCCACATGTCATTTCATCCCCACAAGAGCCTTGGGAGTTCGAGGAGAAAGATTGACACTCCTGTGCTGCAAGTGAAGAAGCTTGCCCTGCCACCCTGCTAGCGGGTGGAGGTGCTGAGGTGTAAGCCTAGGCCTGTATGGCAGGCGGCCCGCACTTGCTGGTGGGATCTTAGATGCCAAGAGGTTCAGGAATGTGGGATGGGCAGTGGGCTGCCCAGGACTTGGTCCCCTCGTGCAATCGCTAACCCCAGTTTGTGCCAACAGCTCCTGTGCAGAGCGGGACGAGTGGCATGGCTGTCTGAGCAGAGCCCTCCCTGAGGACTACAAGGCCCAGGCTCTGGCTGCCTTCCACCACAGCGTGGAGGTGAGTGGAGGCCCTGGCACACCAGCCACACGCCGAGGAAGACTTGCCGCCCTTTGCATCATGGCACTGGCTCTTCTTCCTCCTCCCACCTCTCCTGCCATATTCTCACCGGCTCAGGGCAGTCACTGTGCAACCCCAACCTGGAGCACAGCCCCTCCCGTTGGCTGTTTCTAACCCAAGATCAGCTTCCTGAAGGATATGAGATGGGGGCGGGGGGGGGGGGGGGGGAGGCTACAGAATTAGAAGGCACCCTGTCCACCACACACCATCCAACTTGGTCTCCTGACCACCCTGTTTGGCCCCATTCTGTTGCTCTAGATACGAGAGAGGTTGGGGGTCAGCCTGGGGGAGAGGCCCCCCACTCTGGTGCCTGTCACACATGTCATGATGTGCATGAACTGCGGCTGCGACTTCTCCCTCACCCTGAGGCGTCATCACTGCCACGCCTGTGGCAAGGTGAGTGATGATGTTGGGGGGAATGTGTGCATGGGGGTGGCATGGGGTGGGGATTCAGGGACACCCAGCAGCTGCTGCATGCCAGCCCAGAGAGGGGAGTGTTCACACCAAGCCTGGGAGGTAGTTAATGCCCGTTTTACTTGGCATCCTCAAACCATGGTGCCTAAGCCCAGGCCCCTCCCATAGTACCACTGTGCTTCCTAAAGAAAATCATAGCATATGTGGTTATTGTCCTCATAAAAAAAAAAAAAGTATTTTTTTTTTTTTAATTTAAAAAAAGAACTCTACGCAGCTGCACTGGGAAGGCAGGGTGAGCTGGCACAGTCCCTGCAGGAGGTGGGGCTGTGGGCAGAGGGGTGAGGGTGCTGGCCCTAAGCGTGTGCTGAAACGATGAGAACCGCTCCGACACGCATCCCCACCCGGGCCCGCAGATCGTGTGCCGGAACTGTTCGCGAAACAAGTACCCGCTGAAGTACCTCAAGGACCGGATGGCCAAGGTCTGCGACGGCTGCTATGGGGAGCTGAAGAAGAGGGGCGGGGACGTCCCGGGCCTGATGAGAGGTAGCCCGGGCCCACCCTCACCTTCCTTCCAGGCAGCCACGTGGCTTCTGCCTGGCCTGTGGTTGGCGCCCAAAACCGCTTTCCCGGGAGGAACTAGGGGTTTAAACTCACACCTGGGGCACCATTTCCCAAAACGCTGGTCCAGGAAAAACGGACAGGTGCTCCCAGCAGGAGAGCTCCGTGGGCAGCTGTGTGGGAAGCACTGGGTCAGTGCCCCTCGGGGATGGGGATGGTACACAGAGAGCCCCCGGCAGCCTCTTTTCCTCCCGAGAGTGCTTCTGTGGGCTCCTTTGGGGACAAGGGCTGTGAGACGGGTAACAGAGTTGAGGGTCAGGGAAGGGCGGAGGGCTCGCTGATAAAGGCGCCTGCAGAAGCTGGGCTGGCTCTTAAGAGACCGAGCTCAGGGGACAGGCTTTGCCCAAGCAGGGTTGGGCTGGAGGGAGAGCACGTGTGGTCTGGGCCTAAACCCAGAGAGTTCTCTGGGGCGCGGAACACAGCCCAGCCCCTGCCTCCCGGAGCCCTGGAGAAGCCTTTCCCCCCCCCCCTTGCCCCCAGGGCCTCCATGTCAGCGGAAGGGAGTTGGTTGCCCGTTTTTCTGGTCACACTTAGACCCCACGGCGAGGCTGGTTCCCACCGTGGGAAGGACCAGGAGCCCTGGTTTACAGGGAGTGGCCTGCCCGTCCACATGGGTGCTTACCTCCCTTCCCCCGTGACTTGTCTCCGTTACAGAGAGGCCCGTGAGCATGAGCTTCCCTCTGTCCTCCCCCCGCTTCTCGAGCAGTTCCTTCTCGTCCGTCTTCCACAGCATCCACCCCTCGACCTTCAAGAAGCAGAAGAAAGTCCCTTCGGCCCTGACCGAGGTGAGGCGGGAGGGGGGCTCCCTGCGCGGACACCTCGGGATCCGGACGGTGCATGGTCCTCCTCTGGGAGCCGTGTCAGGCCCCTTTCCCCTCCCTGACCGGGCTCTTCGGGACAAAGAGGACCCCTCGCGGGAGGCATTCTGTCTACAAGGACAGACTCACCTGACAAGGGGAGGGCCTGGCTCCCGGGCATGACTGAGAAGGTGCCTGCCTGGTGGCAGAGGGCAGGGCTTAAAGCAGTTGTAGAGGGTGTTAGGAGACATCTTTCACATCCTTCTCTCTGACTTTCTTGTCCAACTCTTTCTCTCCTTTCCTTTTTCTCTCTCCTGCCCCAAACGTAGACCTAGTCCGAGAGCACTGCACAGACCTCGGGGGCTTTTCCAGCTGGAGCAGCTACAGCGCTCGCTCGGCTCTCCCGTGGCCGGCTGTGCCATCCTCTCCCTGGGGGTCCCACCCAGGCTCAGCTTCCCCCAGAGGCTGCAGCTCTTTGCGGGAAACCTCAGAATTGGCTAAACCCCATTCCATCCTGCAAATAGGACTAGACTTTATACGTACAGATTGTCATCACAATCACAAACAAATGTGTGCCCATGAATATACAAGCTGTTGAAAGAAGTGTGATTAGCTGTTTCCAATTTTTTTCATTAATATTCATTAGCAAGAAGCAGGTGGCAAGGATTTAAAAGTGTTAGGGGATGAGAAATTTAAATGGGTACAGTTCTATCCATTAACTTCATTCCTTCTGCATATTAAAAACCTTGGGATTAACACATACATAGTGTAAAAAAAAAATTTTTTCTCCCCCCAAAAAAGCATGAAGGAATATATGATGAAAGTAAGTTTCTCTCCCTCTCCGAACTCTCTCAGTTCTACCCATCCCAGGGGTAACCACCATCAAATCTCTCATGGATCCTTCCAGAAGTTTTAATGCATCTACATAATGAATTATGTACAATGATAGATCCTCTTTTTTACCCAAAGGATAACATATTATACTGAATCTTCATTTAATTTCTCTTAGATATTATTCCCCATTTGCTCAGCCATATAAATCTCACATTCTACGTCGTATGGTTATCCCATCACTTATTTAACTAGTCCCTTTCCAGAAAACCAGGAAAGTTCACCCTGTTACTTCTCCCACTGTGCTGGTGGTCTGCATGAGTCAAGCTCATTGAACCCGAGTGTTCCATGGGGGCAGAGTTTGAGAACCAATGCTCTTATCTAGAAGATATCAGGCTGCTCTGATTCTGTTGCCACATGGTTCTAACCTAGCCAGCCCCTTGCTAATTTTCACCCAAAGTGACAACCTTTTTATTATTTTTTTTAATATATTTTATTGATTTTCCACAGAAAGGAAGGGAGAGGGATAGAAAACTAGAAACGTCGATGAGAAACATCGACCAGCTTTCTCCTGCACACCCCTTACTAGCAATGTACCCACAACTAAGGTACATGCCCTTGACCGGAATCGAACTTGGAATCCTTCAGTCCGCAGACCAATGCTCTATCCACTGAGCCAAAACGGTTTCGGAGACAACCATTTTATTATCCAGCGAAGTCTGCACTCTGTGGGATCTGCAGTAGCCCCAGAAGAAATGTGCTCCAGTCTCCTGCTGTACTCTCCCCTCCCCCCACCTCACCAGCAGGACCTGTTCCCCATGAGAAAGTCTACAGAAAACTGCCTCCCAAGCATCCGTCAGAAAGGGAGGTTGCAGAATCTGTCCACACTGCCTTTCTCTCTGTGAGATGTTTCAGCACAGCCAGTGTGTGTGGGAAAATGAGGGGGGATGTGGGGGGGGGGGGGGAGCCCATATCTGGTATAGAAGTCCTGGACTGTGATGGGCAGGTTTCTGTCCTGTGCTTTTCCAAACAGCCAGAACTGGTTGTGGCTTCCATGCCCTATACTAGCGGTCCGTGGGGTCCAAAAGGTTGGCGATTGCTGCCCTACACTGACGTTTGTTGACCTCTGGAGTATTTGCTGAGAGATTCAAGTTCTTACTCTCTTCAACTAAATAGGGATTTGACCTTTGGTGGACCTCTCCATTCCTCTGAGCCTCGGTTTCCCCATCTGTAAAATGAGAAAGTCAAACGAGATTATTTCCTAACCTGGCCACATTGCTCTAACAATAAGATTACTATTTATGGAGCAGTTACTATGGGTCAGTCACTGTAGGTCATCTGTTTTATGTCATTTAATTTCAATTTAACTAGTAAAGAAACTGAGACTTAGAGGAAGTAAGTGAATTGCACAGCATGAAACACCTGGGCTGGAACCCTAGGCTGGTATTACTCCACGCCTGCGTTCTTTTTTCTTCTTCTTCTTCTTTTTTTCTTTTTTTTTTTAAGCCTGTGTTCTTAAACCCCACATAAAGTCTGTCTGACAGACGACTCATAAGAACGGGAGGAGCTAACACATCCCGTTAGGCAAGAGATAATAAAACTTTTATGTAAACAGTATAAAGAGGGCCCCTCCTTAAGTACAAGAAATCAATAAGCTGAAAACTGTAAGAATCCGTTTTAGAAGGAAGAAAACCTTTTGGGGCTTGGGGAGAAGGACCAGGGTATCTGAAACACCACTAGAGGGCAGCACTCCTGAAGGCAGTTTTTTGATGCTTGGGTCTTCTCAGTAAAGCCTGTGTTTCAAACCAAGGTACTGTTTTACTGTCTTTGAGGGGCTGGATGGATCCTGAGACCTCATCCATGTCTCAGACTTCAAAGCAGAATAAACAATGTGCTCGCTGTTTTGCATGTCATTTTGGCTCTGTCTGAAATGTGCCCACTACCACCTGGTGCCGACCACTGTGCTTCCCTCCTGCCAGGTGGCCGCCTCCGGAGAGGGCTCCGCCATCAGTGGCTACCTCAGCCGGTGCAAGAAAGGCAAGAGGCACTGGAAGAAGCTCTGGTTTGTCATCAAAGGCAAAGTGCTCTACACCTACATGGCCAGTGAGGTAGTGGTGGTTCGCGCTTCCTCTTCTCTCTCCTGTGAAGGCTTGAAGGTTAAGCTCAAGCCTGAGCATATCCGTGTGGGGTGTGCACCACACCCTGTCACCTCAGGGCAGTGTGAGGCCTGGATGCTGGTCCCAATTCCCATATCAGACAAGTCTCTGTTGAGTAATGTCATGTGCTGAGCATTGCTGTGGACACACAACTGCGTGTCCATCCCAGACCTAAGGAATCTGCCACTTCTGTGTGGAGGGAGTTAAGGCAGTACAGCATGCAGACCTGTGCACCAAAGTATCGGACTGTCACAGGCCCAGCATCCTGTACGAGCCAGCACTCTGTAAGAGAAAGCGGCTTTCTGCTCTCCACTTTGCTCAGGACCAAATTCAACAGGTTGAAGGAAACTACCACACTCTCTGTGCATTTCTTTCGACAGGGAACTGCATTGCCTCACAGTAACTCTTCTATTATGTAAAATTTGTTCATACTTTTATAGATCACCTCACAGGTTCATCTTCTGAAGTAAAGGAGAGAGGGCCTTGGAAGCCAAGCCTCCTTCCGGAGCAGATAGGTAGGGGCTGTGTTTCTGCAGCAGGAGGCTGTCTGGTCTGACCCACGCTGAACTGTAGGATAATGGGAGAGATTTCCATGTCCAGGCCCCACCTTCTGGTAGCTCCCACCGGCTAAACAAATCCGCTTTGAAAGTGGGACTTAAATGCCTTCTGCCCAGCAGCAGAGGGCGGTGTCTCACCCCGTGAGCATGTGCCCAGAGCACAGGAATGCCCCCTTCCCCTGACCACAGGTGCAGAGGCTGGTGAGTGAGCAAAAGCAGCTTCCTTCTTCAGGACCTAAAGCTTCCCTCACAAAGGACCCCTCCTTGACGGCTGCAGTCCACACTGCCCTCCAGTGTTCCAGAGGCAAGCAGGGACGCAGACATACAGAGGGGACTCACTGGGCCTGAGGGACTTGGGGGTGCTATGTGAGTTGGGCACTCCTCGAGGGGGTCTTTCACGCGCATGTCCTCAGATGAGGCTTTCTATGCCGGGGAGAGTTTTGATCTTTCCAGGACAAACTGAGATGTGATGCACTATCCTCTTCAGCCCAGGGCAGCATCTACCTGAGCAGGCATTCCACAGGACACCACAAGGGTTCTCTGGAAACAGGGTTCGAGGGGAACCCTGGGTAGGCAGTGAGTAGGACTTCCTCACAGTCATACTTCTGAAATCTCTCATATGTGAGGCCATGTCATGGATCTCTTAAGACGTGAGGGTTTCCCAAGCTGGGCGGACCAGAGGCCATTCCTCATAGAGCATCACGTGGAAGTGTTGTTGCACAGCACACACACTGGGAAGAAATGCTGGCTTAGATGAACAGAGGCTAGCGATAATTAACCACCAAAGGGAAGGTGAGTCCTATCTGAAAATGGTTCTGAGCAACAGTTGTCATGGAAGTAACAGCAGAAGTTGACTTTAAAAGATGAATCTAATTGAAATATGCTTCAAATGTAGATTCTTCCAGAGAGGAACTTGCATAATTTCTCAAGGAGCTTATTCTAGTGATAGGACCAGCTCTAAATTCCATCAAAGAAAAAAAGTTTGATAATGTGGATCACTGACTATACCACCGTGAATACGTCATGTACCCTGAACTGACCAAAGTTAGTGAAACTTGCTATTCAGTGATAGTCCTGGGAGAAAGTGAATTCATTAATATAAAGGCATCTTTTTTCTTTTTTCTAACATTTTATTATTTATCAATATAAAAAATTTCAAACATAAATAGTGAAAGAATTTTCAGTGAACTGTCATAAATCCATGGACTAGATTACACAATTAACATTTTACTGTACTTCTTTGATCAAGTATCTGTTTATTCATTCATCCCTCTTCCTTTTTATTTTTTGATGCTTTTCAAAATGTTCTTCCCCTTATTTGTTATTTTCATTTAAGGTACCATTTACATATAATGAAGTACACAAATAAGATGCTGTTTTATAGATTTTGATCATGCATCCACCTATAAATCCCCACCTCATCTCTGTCCCAGAGGCAGCACCCTGCCTGATTTTTTTCCACCACAGATATATTTTGTCTCCTTTAGCTCTTCATATAAATGGGATCACGATGACATCTTCCACTCAGCCCAATGTTTTTGAGATTCAGTCATGTCATATATAGCAATAGGTCATTCCTTTTTATGGCCAAAGTAATCTTCCATTTTGTGAATATACCAGTTTATCCATCCACCTGTTGAAGGACATTTAGGTCGTTTCCAGTTTTGGAAAATTATCAATAAAGCCACTTTAAACTTTTACATACAGGTTTTTTGTGTGAAATAGGTTTTTATTTCACCTTGGATAAATATCTAGGCTTGGAAATTCTTGGATCATAGGAACTTAGGTGTTTATAAGAAACAACCAGACCTCCTCCAAAATGCTGTACCAGTTTTCACTCCCCTCAACATGTATGTAAATATGGGAGTTCAGGTTGCTCCACACATTGGTATTATCAGTTTCTAACTTCGGCCATTCTGGTGAAGGTATAGTATCTCACTGTGGTTTTAATTTATATCCTCCTAACGACTGATATTTTTTATGTGCTTATTGGCCATGTGTATAATTTCACTTTGAGAAGTGCCTGTTTAGATCTCTAGCCCATTTTCTAAAGTAGGTTGTCTTCTTGTTCTTGAGTTACAGTTCTTTATATATCTTGGATACCAATCTTTTGTCAGAGAAATGTTTTTTTAATATCCTGTCTGTGGCTTGCCTGTTCATTTTCTGAACGAATGAATGAATGAATCTTTTGGTGAACAGAAGTTTCTGTCTTCAGTGAAACCTATCTATATTTTCCTTTATGGCTATTGTTTTCTGTCCTAAGGAACTTTTGTCTATTGAAAGTAACAGTTATTCCCCTGTATTTTCTTCTGAAAACATTACTGTTTTAGCTTTTACATTTAGGTCTATTTCAAATTAATTTTTATGTATGGTGTGATGTAGTTATTGATGTTCCATTTTTTCCCATTCAGTTGTTCCAACACCATTTGTTGAAAAGATTTTCCTTTCCCTATTGGATTATTTGGATGTCTTTGTCACATAGCAAATAACAGAATAAGTGTGGGTCTACTTCTGGGTTCTCTATTATGTTTCAAAGATATTTTTATCAATACCATGCTGTCTTAATTACTATAACTTTATAGTAAGCCTTTAAGTCAGGTTGTGTCAGTCTTCCAACTTTGTTCTTTTGGTATGTTTTGGGTATTCTAGGTATTTTGTGTTTCCGCATAAACTTTTCAATTTCTATTTCAAAAAGCCTGCTGAGATTATGAGAGAGATTGAATCTATAGATCAATTTGGTGAGAACTGGCATCTTAACAATATTGGCATCTTATAATTCATGAACATGGTATTAATTCTTTAGTTCTTTAATTTCTCCTTAATGTCTTGTTTTCAGTATAAAGGACTTAGAGTTGTGTTCTTACATTTCTATTAACTTTATACTTAAATATTTTGATGCAATTTTGAATATATTTCTAGTTGTAAATAAGTTTTTTAATGACTATCCTTACTAAATTCATTGTTATAGTTGTTTTGTAATCAATCGTGTCTTTGTAAGTGCAGATAGTTTTACTTCTTCCTTTCTGATCTTTTAGGGTTTTTTTTCTGCCTTAATTCAATGGCTAGGACCTACACAATAGTGTTGAATTTCATTAATAAGAGTGAATGCCCTCTTGCCTTGTTTCCAGTCTTAGGGGAAAAACATTCGGTATGTCACTATTAAATACGATGTTAGCTATAGGTATTTTATAGGTTCCCTTTGTCAGATTAAGGACATTCCCTTCTACTGCTAGCTTTTGCTGAGGTGTTTGTTTTTTGTTGTTTGTTTTTTTTGTTTTTTTTTTTATCATGAATGGATGTTGAATTTTGTCAAATGAGTTTACTGATCTAGCAATCTTTGAAAATTGATTCCCCTTTGCACATAAAATCTCCTCCCCTCCTTTATCTTCTCACAGCCATTCTAATGTGTTTAATTATATCTCATTTATATGTGGTTTAAGAGTCTCATGCTCTACCGACTGAGCTAGCTGGGCACCTTCATTTATATGTGGTTTAATAAAATTGTATTATGAACATGTATTTTTACATAAATGTGTGTATATAAAAGTATCTTTATATATTAAAGCTCTTTCTTTTTCCAAGCACTATGATCTTAAGGTCCATCCAAGTTCTCTGGGTACATCTCATTGCATGGTTAGCACCTTTATAGCATAGAGGCCTGTGTGTTCCATCCTGAAGCCCTGGGAGTGAGGGCATGGGCAATGAGTACAGGATATGCTACCAGAAGTAACTCGAGAAAACCAGCTGAATCACTAATTGGATCAGTGGGAAGGGGGTTAGAAGGGGATCATGAGTCCAGATTCTGGCTCTGCCCTTTACATGCTGTGTGATCTTTGGATCTCTGAAGTTACTTACCATCTCTGAGACTCAGTTTCTTCTTAGAATGGAGGTGACATTTTTTGTGATCGTTGCGAAGATTAAACAAGATAATGTGAAGGTGAACATGCCTGGGTCCTAATAGGCTGTCACAAAATGATGCTTCTTTTCCTCCTTATGTCTGATCTTGGCAAGAAGCGGGAGTGAAAAGTATGTGTGCAGTTATTTCCTGTGTCCAAGGCATGTCCCAACAGAAAGGCTCATCATGCACCTCAGATGGGAGGTATCAGTGAACGCTAAGCTGTCAGCTGTGTATAGTGCCATATTTAATACCCATTTTTCCTCTGTCCTCTGCAGGACACAGTGGCCATGGAGAGCATGCCCCTGCTAGGGTTCACCATTGCCCCAGAAAAGGAGGAGGGCAGCAGCGAAGTAGGACCTGTTTTTCACCTTTACCACAAGAAAACCTTATTTTATAGCTTCAAAGCAGAGGATACCAGTTCAGCTCAGAGGTACCAAAATAACGAGTCATGTGTTTCCTTGCCTCTCATTCAGAAGAAAACAAGTTATTACCTAGGATTTTGGTTTCTGTTCTCCTCCAGCCATCCTATCCCGTCAAGTCCCTTTGGGCCACAGCAGAGCATCGGAACTGCCTACTCTTAGTTGTGTGATTTTATTTTTTTAATATATTTTATTGATTTTTTACAGAGAGGAAGGGAGAGATAGAGAGCCAGAAACATCGATAAGAGAGAAACATCGACCAGCCGCCTCCTGCACACCCTCCACTGGGGATGTCCCCGCAACCAGCGTAGATGCCCCTGACGGGAATCGAACCTGGGACCCCTCAGTCCACAGACCGACGCTCTACCACTGAGCCAAACCGGCTTTGGCTTATTTTATTTTTTATAATCTTCACCGAGGATATTTTTCCCATTGATTTTCAGAGAGTGGAAAAAACATTCCACCGATTTTCAGAGAGTGGGAGGGAAGGAAGGAGGAACTAAGTGAGAAAGAGAAAGAGAAAAACATCAATGTGAGAGTGTCACATAGATTGGTTGCCTCCCGTACATGCCCAATCGGAGTGGGGCCACAAGCGGCGCTCTAACCACTGAGGAACAACGGCCAGGGCAGTTGTGCAATTTTTAAAGATTATTACGATTTATTCGTACAGGCATGCATTGATTCAGCAAACCTTTGTGCTGTGTTCCAGGCCTTTTGCTAAATGCTGGGAAAACAAATAAATATGAATATGACATGGTCCCTGACCTTAGGGTAACACTAATAAAGTCTAGTCACTTAGAGTCACAGTCACGACATCAAGTGTCTCTTCTCTTTTGTTTAACAGGTGGGTCAAGGCCATGGAAGATGCTAGTGTGTTATAGCAGTTACCAAGCATGTGGACTCAGAATAAACTCTTAGGTTGATATGTGCACCCACCCAGAAGCCAATCCGTGTCGCCACTCATCTGCACACACTTTGGATTCAGCATGGGGGCCTGGCCTTTTCTACTGGAACCCCCTCACTCAAAACCTTCAGAGGTGGAGCCCTCACGGGATATTTATGGACAGTTCCTCTTCTGTCTTCCCATGTGCCACCCTGTTCCACCCCAGCATAAACTGTTTCCTTACCCAATAGTGAGTAAAAATTCAGTAACTTGAAGACATGGAAACCCATAGAAAAGTACATTTTAGAAACGCAGGCTTTTTAGTAGAAACAAGCTTTTTCAATTTTTATTCCTAGTAAACATCGTCACCATTCATATTGTTGATTTCGGTGCCTCAGGTGAAAACAAGAAACAACCAGTAAATAACAACTACTCTCATCAAAAGCACTTTATTGTTTTACTGAGCTACAACCTCCAGTTTCATGTTTCCAAGTGATTTACTTACGTAAACAGCAGATGGAGTTCTGTGGACTGATTCGCCATCAGTAACGCAACAAGGGTGTACGGAAAACGGACTTGTGCAAACCCAGCTGTGGCGACACTCGGAGGGAAGCGTTCTCCTTACCGCGGACGGTGCATGTCGCCGGATAGGAAGGCGAGGATTTCCTCCTCCAGCTGATCCTGTGACCTGTATCCTGACACAGTGACTTAGCAAAGGACAGATTCCCTCCTTTCCACAGCATCCTCATCACTGCACCAGTGCTGGAAGCTCAGCTGCTGGCAGATTCGGCCCTTGCCCTGGAGGTCACTGCAAACCCTCCAAAGAGACAGGGTCTGCTTTAATTTATTGTGTGCCTTCCTGAATCTTACCCCACACGAGCTGACAGTGTTGTTTATGAAAACCTGTAGTTATTTCAACACGGTAATCCTTTCTGTATTACTGAAACCCTGAGAGAGAGAAAAAAGGGAAAATAAGATCTGAGCAGCAGGTGAATGCGTGGTCTTGGCCAGTGGCTCTGGACACAGGGAGGGAGCCCAGAAGTAGTGGCTTGAAGATACATATCCTCTAGGTGCCTGGGCTCAGACCTCCCGCTGATGGCTGCTGCTCATTATGCGGGAAGTATTTTTACATAAAGCAAATTGGGGGGTGGAGGGATGGGTGGGATTTCCTGTTATTCTCATCAAAATAAAAAGTGCGTATCACTTTCTGATATCCTATCCCCATCCTCCTGCTGCCCATCCCCTGAAAAAAAAAAAAAAAAAAAAAAAAAAAGGCATTTGCTGACAAACCTTTTTGTAAAAAGCACCATCACAAGGAGTTATTGACAGTAAATATTTTCAGGGGAATTTTTTTTTTTTCTAGTTGACAATTCTTTTTAAATGTTTGCATTAAATATTTAAAGGTTGTAACTAAGTGATTAGACAGGGCTTCTTATTAAATTTTCAGAGCCTAATTCCAGTGCAATCATTTTCATCTTCAGACATTTGAATGGGCCTTTTAGACCCTCCGAGTTAAAAAACAAAACAAAAAAACAAAAACCACCACAGCAGGACTTCAGCACAGGCAGTGGAAGCTTCACCAACCTGCTGTGTACCACCACCCATTGTCAGCTTCTCGTAGAATCGTATCTGGAAGTCATTTGAAGGCCTTTTTTTTTTTTTTTTTAACCATATAATACCCTATTTCTGATACTCTATAAAGCAGAGGTAATAGGGCTTTTATTTTTCATTGAATTCGTTGCCTTAATAAATAAAATAAAACAATAGCGGGGCAATAGATCAAATACACTCAATGGGTTTTGTAGAAGGAAGTGGCAGGGGCCACCAAGCTCCTCCCTAGCTCATATGTGATTGGACAAGGACACGCCTGTTTTTACCTGTCCTTCCCATGGTTCTTTGTATACTCATTTAAGCTCCTTTCTCCTAGTCACCTTTACTCCTGTTCCTTCCCTGACCTCTTCCTCCGGCCCATTTTACATGTCTGTGCCACCTGGCTTCCCTTGGGACCCGCCCAAAGGAAGCTGCACAGGTGGCCGGAGGGTGCTCCTTCCCAGGGGGCTGGCGGCTGGAGAAAGGGGAGCTTCACCACCACGGGAAGTAACGTTGCCTGAGGCCCCCCACGGCATCTGCTTTGCTCCCTGGGCACAACACAGCCCCTTCACTGGGCACATCCAGCAAAGGCTGTTACTTGAGAGGAAGCAGTATTCTGCCAAGTTGTGGCTCAGAAATGGGAACTCGGCCCTGAACAAGTGACTCACTACAGCAGCTCTCAGGTTCGGTGTTTTCACTGGTCACACAGAGTCCATTCCAGCTTCCCAGAGTGTGCAGGGGATCAAGTGTAAACTGAATGTTTGCGACAGTGGGCTGAAGACTATAAACCTGTGGCATGGCATTGTTATACAAAGTGAAAATGTGGTGGTGGGACCTGCTCTGTGACAATATAAGACAAAATGAAGACAGCCCTAGCCTGTTTGCTCAGTGGATAGAGCATCGGCCTGCGAACTGAAAGGTCCCAGGTTTGATTCCAGTCAAGGGTACATGCCCAGGTTGTGGGCTCAATCCCCAGTGAGGATCTCCCCCTTTTCCTTTCTCACTGAAATCAATAAAAATATATTTTAAAAAATGAAGACAATATGCAAAAAAGACCCTCCTTCTTATCCATGAAAATGGCAAGAGCGAGCCCTGGCTGGGTGGCTCAGTGGGTTAGAGCATCAGCCTGTACACTAAAAGGTTGCAGGTTTGATTCCAGTCAGGGCACATACTTATGCAGTCAGGTACAACCCAGGGCACATATGCCAGGCAACCAATTGATGTTTCTCTCTCACATCAATGTATTTATTTCTCCCCTTCCCCCCTTCCTCTCTTTCAAAAAATCAGTAAGAACAAATCGGTGGGTAAGGATTAAAAAATAAAATGGTGTGGGTAGCATGGAGTCCTTTCTTCATCGGGTCTTTTCTTCCCTCCATTTGCTTTTAGTGACCTCTCCTTGAGCTCTTCACACGTGGATCAGGAAAACACAGACCTCTGCAGGGTTGGCCTCTGCCTGCTGCTCAGAATCAGTAAAATTTTATAAAACCCAAGGTTTTACTGAAAGCTGGCAGCACTAACATCATAGTGGCTTACCACCTTCCCTGCAGACTGAATGTGTCTTTCCAGCCTGGATTAGTAAGTAGGAAGAATTCTGTTCATTATTGCTAATACAATACACCCAAGAAACATGGTAGTGTCCAAGGATACCGAGTTCCTAGGTCCTAGTAATATTTCTTTTACATATCAAAAATATGTTCTGAATTGTTCTGGCCAGACTGGCCACATTTCCCCTTGAATGCAGCCTAGTCCTGTGTGCAAGTGTGGAGTGAGGGGCTGGTGCTCATGTTGACCTTTGGACACGCACCATGCCAGCCAGTGTGGAGGACCTGAGAGCTCTGCTAAGGCCACTGAAGGATAAGATGGTTAAAATCTCCTCTTCATCTACATCAGTCTCTCATTTCATTGACAATGTAAATGTCGACTCTGAACACTGAAGCCCTACATGGAGACTGAGGTGAACTGGGCTGGGAGTGGTAGGAGCAGGCTGGAGCCCAAGTTTTTTTCTGCTACAGGGCAAAGTAACATGCTGGAAGATTCTGTGAGTTGATTTGGCCTGTGATTTGCAGCTTCTGTGATCAGGTAAGCTTCTGTGCTTCCTTGCATTAATGGTCAGTTGTCTATTTTCAAGAGCAAGTGAAAGGAAGCCAACCTCATGCTAATTTAAAACAATTACAAAACTAGCTCAGTAAGCGGAGGTGCCAAAGCAGAGCAGGTTCAGGGTTAGAGAGTATCCCCAAGAATCAAGCTCTTTGGGTTTCTCTGACCTTCCCATTGTCGGCTTGATTCCTGGGCTGGTTCTCAAGAGGCTGACTGGTGACTGCCACTGATGGCTGGGGCTACAGGCTTGTCTTTTCACAGCCACTATGGAGGGAGAGCTTAGGTCCCTGGAGCTAGCTTTTTCTTAGGCCCTATAAGCTGCTTCAGGACACTTGTGCCAGCCCGGCCCTCTCCTGAGACAATCACTATCTAATTCCACCCTATACAAACAAGCGACTGCCCTTCTCTTAGCCTGGCAGGAGTCAGGAAATTTTTCTCTGGAAAAAACAAGAACTAGAAGAGGAACAGGCCCTCACCCCAACACACACACACACACACACACACAATCTGGATTCAGCTTTTTAAGACATGGGCTCCTGTTTCCAGCCTGTCATATTCCCTCTCTATGAACAATAAAAATTTATGTCCTTTAGATTACCTGCCAGACCCCCCGCTTCCCCACTGCTCTCACCTTAGGGATCTGAGTTTTCATTTCAGCCCTCAGCAATGCAGAACCTTTAAAGAACTGTAAAAGTGAAGGGGCTTTGGAATGGCTCTTTTTCAGAATACTCAAGCAGCAGAAGAAAGAAAAAGGGGCAGGACAGAGGAAGAGAAGCAGCAGCTGTGCGGAGGCAGCTGGTCCACCTTTGACTGGTTAGGAAACCATTGCAGTGGGACAGATAAAACCTAAACTAAGGAACAGTGGGGGAGGGGCCAGATGTGATCAGAGAACCTAGAGGCTTTGGTGTTAAGACACTCAGTTCTGACAGTGTGCCCAGAGCACCCTGAAGGTCAAAAGCCACAGGGTACCGTCCCATCTCTCCCCACCCAAGGTGAAGGGCAGAACCCAAACAAAGTGCAGAAAAGGCTTTCCCAAGGAAACTTTTGCTTCAAGGTACATGTCCTGACCTGTAGTGAATAGGATGTGAGGTTGAAATAATCTCATTAAAAAACTCAAGGAATGCCACTTTTAGACACTGAGTGAAAGGCCTTTAAAAAACATGAATCTTAACACCAAGATATATTAGTGCAGAGGTCTGAGAAGTCTTTGAATTTTGAATACCTGTCGCTGGTATTGGAAGATTCAGCAGTTGATTGATTACTGGTGGTAGTTAGGTATAATGAGTTTTTCATATATGTTGTTATTAAAGGCTGACTACCCACTTTGAATGATTTTCCTAAGAGATAAATAGTAAATGACTTAATGTTTCTCATTAGAGAACAGTAGTATCTTAGGAGACATTTTAATGAATTAAGAAATTAATGTGAGCTAAGTATATATTGTATTACTCAGCAAATGATAGTATGTTTGAGTTTTCCAAAAACAATTTCTTAAAACAGTTATGATATCCTAAGAGCATTTGAATCTTAAAAAAATAAAATAAAATAAAAATGGTAGTGATCTGGTTTCTTAGTATCCAGGACCTTGGAGATTTTCAAAGGATATAATTTTTCATTAAGATAGTCGTAGCTTGAATTATATAGGTTGAACCTCCTAAAATTCTTTCTGAGGGTGATGATTAAAACTAATTTGATAAATGCTAGTATTGAAAGTTTTGCCTGTACTTGCTATGTAAATATGTATGCCTATCCTTTTCCTTTGTCCCTTATTATACTGCTCCTTTGTAAACAAAATGTAAAATAAAGGTACTTCTGTAACTTGAAAAACCAAAAAAATCCGCCCATCAGAGGAACCATTCCCTTTGACCACCACATAATCTTCCATAAAAATTTAGATCCTTTTTTGTTATGAAGCAAAAGGGTAAAGCCATCTGTAGATCGTCATTTTTCAAGTGGGTATTTTGAAACATGAAAAGGTTTGGCCTATACAGCAAGAATTCGTTACTCAATTTCATTTTATGTCAAATAAAGAAATGACTCTTTACGTTGCAGGCTTCTCCCCAGCCTGGGCCCTGAAGGCAACAAATCGATATGTTTCTCCACATCGATATTTCTGTCTTTCCCTCTAAAAATCAATGGAAAAATATCCTAGGGTGAAGATTAAAAATAGACAGATAGAACCTCCTTCTGAGCAATCCATATCATAAACCAGGGACCAAGGACAGGTGCATTTTTTGAGAATTTAATTTTACATCATGCTTCAAGATATTTGAACCAAATTACAACTTGGAAATAATACCTTTTCAGGGCCCAGGAAACCCCAGGTCAGAAGCTAAAGGGACATGACTTTCAGTAAAAGTCATGCTGGATAAGGCTCCGGTACTCTCTTCTGGTGTTCCTGTGTCCCACCGCCCCTATGACCAGCTCGGGGTCAGTCTTTCCCTTTTCTCTTCCTGGGAAAAATAAGGGCCAATTTAATAGAAATTAAGATCTAAGTGGCCTTCTGTGACAGAGCCTGACTTTTAACAGAATCAATGAAGTGGGTAAAAGAGTTTTTACCACTCTTAAAGTTCTCAAGGACAGAAGAGAGGAAATAAGCAGAAATAACTTTTAATAAATGTTCCACCACATGCTAGCCATGTGATTTAGAAGTCATTCTGCCTCCATTTAATTTGTTGTTGCTAATTCTCACTAGAGGATTTTATTTATTTATTTATTTATTTATTTATTTATTTATTTAGAGAGGGTGCAAGGGAGAAGAACACAGAGAAACATCAATGTGAGAGAGAGAGACATTGATTGCCTCCCGCATACACCTCCACCAGGGCCAGAGATCGTGCCAAGGATCGAGCCTGCAACTGAGGTATGTGCCCTTGACTGGAATCAAACCTGGGACCCTTTAGTCTATGGTCCGATGTTCTACCTGTTGAACCAAACCAGTTAGAGCCTCTGCCTGTTAAAATCTCAGCTTCTTAAGCTGTAAAAGCAAGGTAATATAATTATTTTGAAAATTAAACAAGATAATATGTAAATGTAAGGAACATGCAATCTGGTATTCTGCAATTATATCAGTTCAGATTCCACATTCTTAACAAACAAGGCTAACAACAATTATAGGTTTAAAAGTTTATTTTATAAACATGTCATAATTATATGATATAAACAGAAGTTCACAAAATATATAGCAATAAAGCATAAGCTATTACAGAAAAATTGATACAAAGATGTATGTAAGTACTTATGAAGGTAATTATTAAGCCTTTATGAAAATAAAAAGGAAAACTATTATTAATACTATCACAAACGCAATACCCTTACCAGTAAAATAAATCTCCTTGATAATAACTTAGTGCATCTATAACTGTCATTTAATCAAAACTTGATTTTTATCCATTCAACTTTTTTTTTTTTTTGTTCTCACTTGAGAATATTTTTTCCATTGATTTTTAGAGAGTGGGAGGAGGAGACACAGAGAGAAATATCGATGTTAAGAGAGACACATTGATAAGTTGCCTCCTGCATGTACCCTGACCCAGAGTCAGGGATCTAGCCTGTAACCAAGGTGCATACCCTTCAGTCCACAGGCCGATGCTCTAACCATTTATCAATACCTGCTAGAGATCAACATTTATCTTTTAAATGCAAATTAAAAATACTCTTGGATGGCAAAACCTGTTTATTTACTCTGTGCTAGGTACAAAATGAAACTTCAGGATATATAGTTCCTGCCCTCTAAAAGTTCAAAGTTAAGTCAATTAATGATTGACTGCAGAACAGCCAAGTTAAGTGTGTGGGAGGGGAAAAGACCTTCCCAGATGACTACAGAGGGAACACGAGGGTCTCATCCACAGACCCCTGTACAAGGAGCTAGAAGTCTCAAAAACTTGTTTTCATCTGTAAAAACGAAACACAAAACCAAAAAGATGGGACAATGTGAATACTGCTATACACTGTGCTGGGAAAAACATTCTTTCAATAATGTCCACTTCATATCACTTTGTTCTAGGTACCATGTTAAGGGCTGAGATAGAGAAGGACAAGGCATATCTTGATACAGAGCTCATAGTCCGGGTAGGTGCCACATAAGGGCAGATATGTTATCACTCCCCTGGAGTCCCCTGTCCCTGTGAATGAATAAGCTTCAGGTATGGGCAAGTAGTTAAAAAGAAAACTTAGCCTAACCTGCATTTCAAAAGGTGAAACAAAGTTTTGTTACTGTTTTTTTGTTTTGTAGCCAATTAATGTTTTTGAAATTAGGTCAGTGATTCAGGTTCAGCAGAAATTGATGCCAGGCCCCCAATACTGTTACCCAAAGCTTACTGTTTCAGAGCCCCTGGGGGACTGGCAATTCTCTAGTCAAGAACTGTGTGTGTGTGTGTGTGTGTGTGTGTGTATGTATGTGTTTTTGTTAATCCTCACCAGAGGATATTTTTTCCATTGATTTTTTAGAGAGGAAGGGAGAAAGTGAAGGAGGGAGAAGAGAAGAACGAGACTGGCTGCCTCTAGGACCTAGAAGGATGGAATCTGTAATCCAGGTTTGTGCCCTTGGTGTACAGGCCGGTGCTCTAACCACTTAGCCCACTGGCCAGGGTCAGCTATACTTTTTCTCACTGTCAATTATTAGGAAATATCCACATTTGTTTCAACAGTGCTTTCTCAACCTTTAAAATAAAGAAATCTTGAATACTAGGGCCAATGTGGCTCAGTGACAACCACTGAAGGGTTGAGGGTTTGAATCCCAGTCAAGGGCAAGGACCTGGATTGAGATTTGATCCCTACCCAACTGGGACACATTTGGGAGACAACCAATTGATGTGTCTCTCTCACAGTGATGTTTCTCACTCTCTGTCCCTCCTTTCCATGATCTCTAAAAATTAATGGGAGGAAAAAATATCCTTGAGTGAGGGTTAACAACAACAAATGTATAGTATAATACAACTTGAATAATTTTTGTGATTTAAAATCCATCAAGTGTTACAAAGAGTTCTTATTAAAAAGATTTCTAGCAAAAACACAATGGAGCGAAATATGGCACTATGACAGTGCCAACCTCAGCTGCAGAGGCTTGTTATCTGCTGGTATTATTTACAATCTGTATTTACATCTGCATCTGTTTTCAAGAAAATAAAAGCCGCTCAACTGGGTCAAGATTATTAATATTAAACAACTAACCTTTGAGAATTTAATGAATACTATTATAAACAGGGCTACTGATGCAATATAGTTTACTCAGCAGTGTTTCCCAAACTTTTGACATATGTGTACCCCTTCTATAATTTTCGTAACACTGAGTACCCCTCATACTCATGAGATCGTAGAATTAGGCCCAGCTAAGCACGGTGCAGTGCATATCCCCACCAAACTCTTCCCGTACCCCTGAGGGTACGAGTACCACACTTTGGGAAACACTGGTTTTACAGCATAAGCCTTAATGTCAAACCAGATCAGAGTCCTGGCTTCACTTACTACATTGGTAGCATCTGGGCATTGGAAATATAAACCATCCTATAAACATTATTGTTTAGAATTCATTTCAAAATCTAGTATAATTATAATGTGTTTGCAATAAAAAACCCAAAATTCACCAATGGATGTATTTTTAAACTATCTAGAAGCAATATTTAATATTAAAAACTTAATTTTTGAAAAAGAACACAAAATTGCAAAGCAGTTTGTGGTTACAATATGGCCCATTACAATACTGTTACCTTAGGCCTATCACTTGACTTTCTGGTTCTTATCCATCTCTCCTGTAAAATCTTCCTGCCACAAGAGGATTAGACCATATCATCTCTTCAGGCCCCTTCCAGCTGCAGGAATATGTTACCAAGAAATTACAAAATTTAACTGTTTTTCCCACTTTCTTGCAGGGTGTCAAGAAGGAAGAAGAAAAAATCGATGTGTTTAAAACATTTCCTATCAAATAGAAATATAAGATTAAGGACAAAATACTCAAAGTAGGGGTCAACCTGATAAAAGCCCAAATGGCTGTTTCAGCAGAGGATCACTAACCTACAAAGAATGATGACCGAGGAGAGTCCAGCCTAAGCATTTGGAGATCTGCATCCTCCAAAGCAAGTCAAAACCATAAATAAAGAGAAATATTTAAGGGACTCATAGGGTCAAGAGAAGCAACTTCCTTTATATATCTAACCTATTTAGCAAAGAGTTGCTTTATATATACTTTTTTTCTTAATCCTCACCAGAAGATGCTTATTGATTTTATCTATTTACTTATTTTAGGGAGAAGGAGAAAGAAACATCCATTGGTGCCCCCTGCACGCGCCCCGGCCTTTCAGGTGCATGGGGAGGACGCGTTAACCAATGCACCACACGCACATGGCCAGGGCTGTACATACTTCTGTACCGCTGTTTACAAGTGCCAAGACGGGAGGGCAAGAACACAGACTCGAGATTTGGACCATACGGTCACTAAAAGACCGTAACAGGTAGTGAAGGGTTTCCTCGGACCTTTAAAACATAAATAACAAGTCGTATAGATGCAGGAGGGCCCAAACCCACGCAATAAACCGCACCCCCCCCTTCCGATTTGCAGTTGCTCTGCGTTGTCACCGCTTCTTCCACCGGCACGGCGGCGGCGGGAGGCTTTGATGGAGGCGGTCACAGCCAAAACGCAGTCCCCGCCACGCCCGCGGGCTCGCAGCCCGGCCCCCCACCTCCGCTCCCCCGAGGGGCGTGCTTGCACCGGAATAACGGTGTCCCGCTCTGCCCAGGTCTCTGAGACGGCCGGCCAACCCACCCTTTACCCTGAGAACGGTGACGGCCGCGCCGTTTAAATTCCTTTTTTTTTTTTTTTCGTCTCGACTGCAGTGTCGACCGAGTCCCGGCTCCAGGCCTCGGCACGGACAGCGCAGCCCCGAGCATCCGCCCCGCGCCGCCGCCCGGCCCGCCAGGGGCCGGAGGAAGCGGCGCCGGCCGCGGCGTTCCGGTGCGCGCGCGCGGCTCAGCCAATCGCGTGCTCGCCCGCCCCCCGCGGCCGCGGCGAGGCTGGCGCCGGGAAGAGGAAGAGGAACATTCGCCCTCCTCCTACCAGCGCGCGGGCGGCGGCGGCAGCGGCACCGGGGTCACGAACTCTGACCTTTCACTGACAAAAACAATAACAAACTCCCCCTTTCCCGCGACCCCGGCGGCGCCCCCGGGCCCGCCCCCGCTTTTACCTCGGCGTCTCGTCTTCGGTCCGCTGCCCCACGAGCCTGCGGCCCCGGGGCTCCCGCCATCCGCCGACGCCGGGAGCCCGGCCTCCCCACGCTCTGCCCTCCGCGCCGGGGGCCGCCGGTCGCAGACACGGGACTTGCTTCGAAGCTGCTTTGGCGCCAAATCCTGAGGTAAAAATTGAAAAAGGGGCCGGGGCGGGGGCGGGCTGGCGGCGGCTGCGGCGGAGGGGGCGGGCCTGGTGCGCGGACAGGGAGGCGCCGAGTCGGCGGCTTGAACCCGACCTTTTTACCTTTGCCACGGGGCGGCAGCGGCGGCGCGGGACGCTTTGCATAGTGGGCCGGGCCGCTCCCTTCCCCTCCCCGCCCGCGCCGGGAGCAGCGAGCTGGGGCCCCCCCTGACCGGCCTGGCCGGCGCGAGGGTGGGGACAGAGTGGGGGGGAATGGCCGCGGCCCCGCCTCACAGCTGGCCATCCGCCAGCGCCGCCATTTTGTTCTCGATGAAGAGGGCTCTTGCAGGGCCGAACTCCCTCCTTCTCGTCAGCCTCCTCATCCCTGTGGTCCCTCCTTCCCTCCTTCCCTGACTCCTCGCCCTTTCGCTCCTCGGGTGCCGTTGGCGGCCGCCTCGGCCCAACCGCCGATTTTTCCTGAAGGGGAGTGGGAAGGGCGGGTCCGGAGTGCCGCCTCGTGAGCGACGGCTTCGCCGACCAATCGGTGCCCACGTCGGAGGGCCAGGACCTGCGCTCCTTCCCCCCGAGGCCTTGCTGATTGGCTCGGGCAAGAGGGGGCGGTCCCCGTGGGGCGCTGCGATCCTGGCGGGGCGGGGGCAGGGGCGGGGCGCAGCCTGGGCTCTCGGGTCATGGGGGCGCGGCCTGGGCGGGAGTCGGAGCACGGGGGACGCGGCGAGGGGCCGCGCGGTTTCCCCGGGCCTGGAACGCGTCTAGGATGGGTAGTGTTGAACCCTAGCGATAAAGGTGGCGAAGCCTCTTGCGTGCATGTCGCTGACCCGTGGGAAGGACTGGAAGCCATCTGGACGCCTCTCACGGCCGGGCTCCTTCCTTGTATTTCCGGCGCCGCCGCGGGCGAATCTGGAGGCGCCGTTCCCTAGATTGTAAAAATGGGGAGAATGGGCGTTCTTGCCAGGCCGGACCTCCCTTCTCAGGATCATTGAGTGCTCTGCTCAGAAAATGGAGTCCAGGTTACCTTGTGAGCCCCTAAGCACTGTAAAAATGGTGGTGGTGTTGAAAATCGGGTGTAGAAGCGCCAGGGATGGAAAGCTTAAATGTATTGAAGGCTTGAGAGAACACAGGTGAATCAGGTAAATTCTCTTCTCATTCATCTATTAAATGCTTGTTTGCTTAGTTTGTGGACATCCAGAGAACTTAGCTAGACAAGCCTTCTCTCCCCTTGTAGGATTGGGGATGGAGATGAATGGACAAAAATATGACTTCAGAGAATGGTAAATTCCAGAAAAGAAATGAAACTGAATTAAAGAAGATATGGAGGCAAATTTAGGTTGGGTGGTCAGAGAAGGCCTCTGTAAGGCGGTGTTTGAACCCTGGAACCTAAGGAAGGAAGGAATAGTCAGAGAGAAAACGAACCACAGGTGTAAAGGCCCAGGAGGGAAAGAAAGCATTTGGTGTGATTGGGAACAGGCTGTAGATTTGTTGGAACTAGCTTGTTGTTCTTTCTATTATCCTACTCTATCTTCAGCTAAAGTCTGTGAGATATGACAAAGGTAATAGAGAATAAATCTTCAATTTAACAATGAAAAAGAAAGTCAAGGAAAATATAGCTGTCAAATGAATTGCTGATAAATACATGACTTAGGGGGAAAGCCTCAGAAAATCACTTAGATTCGAATCCTTTGTCGGCCCCTTATATCCAACTTCAATTCATCAAATATTTGCGGAGTCTCTGAATACCTCAGGAATTAGGTGCTAGACTGGGAATACAGAGGTGACTAAATCACTGTTTAATGTCCTCAAGTATGTGTGAATGTGGTTCAGTACACAAGTTCTGTTTTCTCCCTGTCATCATCCCCATATATGCATGTACATACACACATAAAATGTTTTAAGCCAAAGCTAATTACTGTGTTCATTAACAGTGTCAGCATTTACTAGCCATGTGACTATGGGTAAGTTAATTAACGTTTTTGAGCCTTACTGTCCTCATCTGGACAATAATAGAACCTTTTAGAATTGAGGATTAAATGGGTTAATGTAAATAAAGCGCCTTGCACATAGTAAATACCTATAATTGGAGTTAAAGGATATAAACGGTGAAATTTTTAGTCATTGTGGTATAGGGGCAAAACACTAGATTGGAACACTGGGGTTCTAGTTTTGACTTTCCTGCTTTTGGTTATTAATTGGCCTCCAGACCAAAAATTTATTTAGAAAACAAAGTAATGGCATTAATAATCTAACAAAAAATATGGGGTGCTTGACAATTTACAAGACTCTTACAAGCATTACGTAGTTTATACCCCACTAGAACCAATGTAATTGTGGAGATCCTTTTCCTGCTGTTATAAAACTTCTAAGATGTTCCATCATTTTCATTTCTCTGTACCCCTAACCCCCTGCACTCTAAATATACTGGCTTGCCTTCAACTCTCTTGACATCATGACTTACCTTAACCCCAGGCCCTTTCACACACACCCGCACACCCTAGTCCTGCAGATTTCAGCACAAGCATCACTTCCTTAGGGTAGCCCTTTCTGATGCCCAGTGCCAATCTAGATCAGATTCTTTTACTACACTGTATTTTTCCATTATAACCTTTGTCTCGCTTTGTAATTATACTCCATTATATGATTGTTTGATATTTGTTTCCCTTACCATGCGGTAAACTGCATAACAGCAGGAATTATTTTGTTCATCATTATATTCCCCGCACTTAGCAGAGTGCCTGGCACTATTTGTTGAGTGAATTAATTGATAATTTATGATATCACTGGTAACTAAGTTACTGCTCATTAAAGGTACCTTTTTGTGGGGGCTTATTTGGCTGACACTCTATCCACTGAGCCAAACCAGCTAGGGCTTTTTATGTGTTTTTATATTTTATTTTAGAGAGAGAAACATTCATCAGCTGCCTCTTGCATACACCCCTACTGGGGATAGAGCTTGCAACCCCATGTGCCCGGACTGGAATCATACCACTAAACTTTCGGTGCATGGGACATTGCTCAACCAATTGAGCCACACTGGCCATGGTTGTATAATACTGATTTTAAAAATAAAATGTTATAATATTTTAAAACCAATTAGCAGTCACACTTTTATTTAAATAATTGGTTTTGGATTCTTCTATCCTGTTATAGGATTTTTTTATATCACTTGATCAACCATTTTGATTCCTTGAATTAATTATTCAGGTTAACTAAAGGACTATTGCTTTCAACAGTTGTATTTAAGATGATCTTGAAATTTTGTTTTCATGAACATGTCTTTTTAGAAAATAAAAACCCCCATATGTGTAATATTTTACTTTTTGAGGAATTCCGCAAAGTCTTATATTTGTCTCCAAGAAGTCAAGTAACAGTTCAACACCTATCTCTGGAGCCTTGAGTGGGTAGCCTCTCTGAGGCTTATAGATTTTCCACTTTTAAAATGGCGTGACGGGGTGGGCAGAGGGAACCAACACTGAGATTGGGACCAGGAGTAGGAGTCATTTTTCCAAGTTAAATAGAACAAGGCAGGTGGGTCTGTGTAGAGCAGACCCCCTTCAACCTTGGCACTGAACCCCTGGCCTTTTGTGTCTAGCTGCCTTAGTGTCTCCACATATGGAGGACTTTTTTGTCACTTGGGGTTTTTGTCTTTGAGTTCTCTTACCTGTGTGTCATATGCTTCTTCAGTCCCAAAGCTTGTCCTAGAGCAGATACTCATTCCCCTTAATCAGTACCACATAGGCTGAATCTATGAAGGAAATCCATCTTATAGCTCAAGTCCAGCCTCACACCTGATGCAAAACTTAACAAGAGTTTTGTTCAGCTCTTTTTACTTTATTACTGGTTATGAGAAACTTAAATAAATGTGTCCATCACGTTATCATCTTGGAGTCTCACAACCTAACCTGACTGGCGGCTGAGATTCTCTTTGTAATTCCCTCCCATCCCTGCCATTGCTTCCCCATATCCCTTGCCATTTATTTCTGCTACCAGTTCCCCATCCTCTCTTCAGGTGCCCTGAGTACTAGAGAGTTTTAACAACAACAGCTCTGTACCAAAAGTCATGACTGTGTGGAAATTGCATCTCAAGTAGCATAGCTCACATGATGAGTGGTAGTAGATAGAAAGGATGAAAGTTCAGATTAGGGCATGGCATAGGTTTATTATGAGGAGAGAAGAAGCAAATTCATACTGGCATCTGGAGTCTTGGAGCAGAGGTATGGGAAGTGAATTGTTAGAATGAGAAAGAAATAAGCTAGCTCAGACACTCAACTGTCGTTTTTGCTTTACTCCTGGACCTATACTGATGAAAGCTAACCTGAGGGGGAAAGTGTGATTTTTAGGGACAATAAAAATTAACTCTCCCACTGTAATAGGCCTGAAGTCCCTAAATAGGTGAAACCTTTCATTTCATAATTATTCTAAGCCCTGGAAATGTTAACAAGTTGATACGGAGGAGTTTCTTAACAACTGTAAAGAGGATATTCTGTTCTGTTTGGATTAGTGGGAGGTGTGAAAAAAGATATTGAGGCCTAGAAAATTGGATAAATGCTACTGAAGAGTGAGGAGGAGAAGTTGGCAGTGCTAGACTCAAACTTGAAGGCTTCATGGTTTTACTGGGGGTCACCTTACTTACATTTATTGCTCATGTATTGATAACAAACAAACAAAAAAGGCAAAAAAAGTTTCCTACTGTCTGCTCACACATGCACTTTCAGTAACTGCCTGCTTCTGTGTACCACTCTCATTCTCTTTCTCTCACCGTCCCTTATTGCTTCTGCAATAATCTTTTTATTAGATTAAGTAAGCCTGGAATTGAAAATCATGTTTAACATGGTTTAAAGCACAGACTTTAGGTCAGCCCTTGGCTAAAAAGACTGGTAATCAGAACATGTTTGTTACTTAATGCAATGCATTTTTTTTTAATTAAACTTAAATTTGTTTCTTTTCTAAAGTAAAAGACAATTTTTTAAAAAAAGGAAATTTTCAAATGAAGGAAAGAGCATTGTATCAAAAGGCACATTCAAGAATGTTGTCAGTAGATTATGTGACTTTAAGTGAAACATATAATGAAACTTAATTTTACATCGGCTACTTGATATAAACAAGAGTTAAGTTTCTAGGGTATCTCATCAACATTATAACAAAATAACCTGTTGTATTTAGGAATTAGTGGTTGTATAAACTAGTTATTAAGTGATTTAGCTTATTGATTCAAGCAATTTGTTTCCTTTGGTAATTAGCTCTCTCCTGTCACTTTAAAGATTCCTTCCTCTTGACTTTTTCTGGGAAATTATTTTTGAAGGACACTGTGGTAGAGAGGGAATGTTGTGTTCTTAGAGAGGCCTGGAAGACTTGAAACAAGTTAATTAAACTTCTGAGTCTGTTTTTTTTTGTTTTTGTTTTTTGGGGTTTTTTCTTATGTATTGTGATAATACCTACTCAGAAGGTATTTTAAGGATTAAGTGATGCCTCCTTTTTTATAAGGCACATTGTATATTCTCAGGAAGTCTGTCCTGCTTTCCTTCCATCCATCTGTCCCTGTCTCACACTAATAGAAATGAAAAGAGTTCTTATCACCCTTACGTTTAGAAAAATCAGTACAATGATTTATTTTATTATTACTTTTTTTTTTTTTTGCAGGAAGTTGCTCAGAAAGTTGCAGTACTGCTCTGGTAGCATGAGAACTCCATAGATGAGAACCACTTCTTTCCCCGCTGTTTAATCTTTACCACCTCCTAGCACACATAGGTCATTGCTGTCCCTTTCTTATAGTCCCTTATAATTATAAGTTTCTTGTGTAGGGCAGGAAATCACCTGACCTAAAAGCAAGTAATCTTTGAGTCTAAGGAAGTAGTGGCAGGATTTCTGATTGAAGTCCCAGGATGTATATCTGAACTTGACCTTAGAGGCATTCTTGTGAGCCTTTCTTTTGCTGAACATCCTATCCAATAAAGAGGGAATATGCAAATTGACTGTCACACCTTCACAAAGATGGTGGCGCCCAGTCCTCTCAGCCCCACCGGAGTCCCACAGTCCTTTCAGGCAGCTGCAGAGACGGCAGACACACAGTGCAGCCAGACCTGCCCTCAGTCCCCCAGCTGCCCGGTGGGCAAGCCTCAGATGGTGGCTGCCCGGCCACCCAGGGCTCAGGTAACCACGGCCGGCTGAGACTTGTGCTGCCAGCAATGGCAGCAGCAGAGGTGTGATGGGGGGCATCGCCTTCCCCTGATCACTGGGTCGCCTCCCGCCCCTGAGGGCTCCCGGGCTGAGGGACTTTCCCCCTCTCCCCCCCCCCCCCGAAGTGCATGAATTTCATGCACCAGGCCTCTAGTTTTATTATATTAAATCTGCTACTTGATTTCCATCCTGGTTTCAAGTCTTGATCTATGATTTCAAATCTTTAGCTATGTATTTCTCTCTCTTTTTTAAATCCTCTTTCAGGCTATTATAGATTCTTCAGTTTTTATTTTCCCATGAGTATGAATAAAAAGACTGACAGCTAACTGGTGTTACTCAGTGGTTGAGTGTTGACCTATGAACCAGGAGGTCACAGTTCGATTCCCTGTCAGGGCACATGCCCAGGTTGTAGGCTCAATCCCCAGTGGGAAATGCAGGAGGTAGCCAATCAATGCTTCTCTCTCATTGATGTTTCTCTCTCTCTTCCTTTCCCTTCATCTCTGAAATCAATAAAAAGAAAAAAAAGACTGACAGTCATCACAGCATAACAAAACTTATACTGAATATCTTGGACCTATCAAGTTGTTCTATTACCCACCTAGTATGATATTTTGAAAATAGTTATTAGGTATTGGTTTATTTTATTTGTGAGATTTGTCTTAATTTAGTCCTTTCATTTTGTCCAGTTATACAATTTAACAATGAATTACAAATGCTGTATGAGCATATGATGCATGTAAATATAGTTAATTTCATGTGGATCTTATGTCGAAATGAAAGACCTATTCCTAAGTGTAATACACATTTTATAGATTTGAGTTATTGCTTTCAAATTTCTTTGAGAAAGTAAAAGTGGCACCATCTCCTTGTACAATAGTAGCTTCCATGTATTGCATGTCTGTTATGTGCCTGGCACTGAGTTAGGCTCTTACATACCCTGTTTCCCCGAAAATAAGACAGTATCTTATATTAATTTTTGCTCCCAAAGATGCGCTAGGTCTTATTTTCATGGGATGTCTTATTTTTCCATGAAGAAGAATACGGTACACATTTATTGTTAAATGAAAATAAAGGAAATTTATTACCTGTATACAGTACTGTAGTACGGTAGTTGTCAACACAAACCAGACAAACTGTGAATCCTACAGTATCAAGAATTTACTCATTTATTCAATGACAATGATGTCATCTTCTGGAACATCATCATAACAATCCAATTCCTGAATTTCCTGGTGAATTTCTTGTGACTCCATTTCTTTCAGAATCAGTGGACCAAATCTCTCATGTTTAGCCTAGGGGGGGCCTTATTTTCGGTGGAATACCTTATATTTCACTCAGAAGGAAACTTGTAAGTAGGTCTTATTTTCGGAGGATGTCTTATTTTCGGGGAAACACAGTACATATTTAAGATCTAATCTTCACAATAACCTCATGTGGTTTAGTATCAGAAAGATCAATTTAGTGCCTGAGTCTTACAACCCAGTATATTTGTTTAGATGAGAAAATATCAAGACTGGATATTTTTGAATGTTATATAATTATGGGCCATGTAATATATAAATATGGGTAATGTGAATCGGTTGATTTTGAAGGGAAAGGCAGGCTCACCCATTCCTATCAATAAAGACAAAGTTTCCTTGTCCCAGGGTTTGTTTATTGTTATTTGAGACCCTGATTCCTAAGCCTGCTCCTGTGGAGAATATAGCTGAGCTGTTCTGGAGACTTAGTGGGTATTTGGGTGTTCAAAGAGACCAGCTTTCACTGATTGGCAGCTCTGCTTCACAAAAGAAACTTTAGTTGCAAGGTTTGGTCAGAGTACACTTTTTGTGAGCCTAGAAGAGCCTATTCAAAGTCACCATAGTTTTCTCTACTTCTTTGTTATTAAAAGGGTGATATTGATCTCATTGTAGTTGAAAGAATATGTTATAAAACCTATGCTTGCATAAAGTCAGGCAATAATAGTTTTACTTCCATCATCCTGTGGTCTGTGTTATAGTTTTTATGTACTGTACCTTGTTGTCCTACATGTTCAGTACAGGAAAAACGTTTAAATTAAGTTTAAGACTGTGTCTTCATACTTCATAGTCTTTGTTGCCACCCTTTTAACTGGCCCTCCATTTATAGTCTCTCCTTTTTTATCATCTCCATACTGTTGCCTAAAGGATTTTTTTTTTAAGATCCAGATATGATTACTTTATTTTCCTGCCAAACCTCTGATAGTTCTGTTATCTATCCTATCCTCCTCCTCCCCTGACCTCTCCAATAACCCCCCACCAGGTTTTCTACTGCTCCTTAAATACGTCATTCTCTTTCATACCTACCAGTTTGTATGAGCTGTCGGCTCTGCTTAGAACTCTCCCCATTCTCTTCTTTGCTTATTGAATTTCTACTCTTCCTTCAAGACCCAGCTTCTCTCCTATAAAACTACTACAAGCAGAGCGAGATGCTTCTTCCTTTGGACATTCATTGTAGCATTTAACACTGCATAGCTCTTTTTGGTTTCCTTCTAAAATTCTTCAAGGACAAGGACTTTCTCCTCTTATTATTGTCATTGTTAATTCTCAGCAGTCAGTTCATTTACTAGTTGCTTAAAAAGGATTGGTAGTTGTTCGACTTGATTAGCTTAAAACTACCGATGAAAAATATTCTGTGGCAATTTCTTTTTTTACTTAAGCTATGTGATCTTTTCCAGGAACATTATTGTGTGTGGGAGCAATCTTCAAGGGTTAGGGAGCTGAATAGGCCAAGGACCAACCTTTGAAGACCTCAAGTTTCTCTACCAAGAAATATAATGTTTTGTCCGCAGTGCTTATAAATGCAGTTTCTGGTATAGAAAAATCATTCAGGAAATGTCAGTTACTATCAGTATTATCATGCTTAGATAAAACAAGAAGGTTGTTTTTAAATGTTTTTTTCTAGTTTGTAGTATCAAAGCAATAGGTGGTTGTTTTTTTGTGTGGGTGGTTTTGTGTGTTTTTTCAGACTTCAAATGCAAAATTATATTGTGCTAGTGACTGGTTTTTCAAACTACATGTAGACACAATACACTATTTCGTGGAGCTTTTCATTCTAGGGCAGTGGTTCTCAACCTTTCTAATGCTGCGACCCTTTGATACAGTTCCTCATGTTGAGAACCACCAACAGAGTCGCCTGAGACCATCGGAAAACACCGATATTTACATTATGATTCATAACAGTAGCAAAATTACAGTTATGAAGTAGTAATGAAAATAATCTTATGGTTGGGGGTCACCACAACATGAGGAACTGTATTAAAGGGTTGCAGCATTAGATACATGCCCTTGACTGGAATCGAACCTGGGACCTTTCAGTCCGCAGGCCGACGCTCTATCCACTGAGCCAAACCGATTTTGGCGGTTGCAGCACTAGAAAGGTTGAAAACTACTGTACTAGGGGGATGCCTCCTAATTGACAATCATTGTCAAAGTGCTCTACCTTTCCTTCCTACTATGTGGTCTTTCTGTCTTTAGGATTACCTGTTGCTGTGATAGCAGTAAGAGAAGCTCTCAGGTGAGAGTCTTGCCCTCTGGCATTATCTTTTTCTTTTTTCTTTTTTTAACCTATGCACTTGAGTTAAATATTTCCCCTCACTTCCTGATGTCTTATATTGTGATATCCTGAAAGAAGGCCCTGTCTTTCTTATTTATATATGAGAATAAAATATAATTTGCGACAACATATTTTCAAAAATGATGAAATGGAAAATATTTTTTTAAATTACCCACACACTTATCTGCTCTCACTGGATTTAAATCTTTATTGAAAGCACTTGCTTTTCATAATTTCTCTTTCTATACCTCTCTCAACATTATTCTCACTCATTATCTTTGCTTATTTTTTCAGAAGGTGCACACATTCTTCCTTGTTCATTTTTAAGCAGTTCCAAAGCTGCTGTTGATGATGCCTGAAGCTGCTTTGGAGGCAGAAAACCAAGAGTGAGATCAAGAATTGTAAGAATTTAAGTTATAAAGAAAGGTTGCTGCTCTGGGTCATGAATGTCTGAGATAGTCTAAGAAGTTGGTGTGGGCAAGAGAGCAAAATGGGGGGCAAGGGGTGCACTTGCCCTACAGAGCAAGATTTGTTATAAAATTGCAGTAATAAGATAATGGTAGTGGCATGGAGAAAGATATGTAGAACAGTAGTGGAGTAGAATAGAGAATCTAGAATTACATCCACACATACTGGGAAGCCTGAGATATGGTAGACAAAAAGGATAGGTTGTTTAAAAATGGTGCTAGAAAATTGATGATCCATACAGGGGATGGGAAATGGATTCTTATCAAACTCAAAAATCAATGCAGATGGATTGAGGACTGAAATGTGAGAGATAAAACTCGTTAACATTTATAATACATAACATTATACTTTTTAAAAAATCCTCACCCAAGGATATTTTTTTATTGATTTTAGAGAGAGAGGAAGGGGAGGGGGGAGAGAGATAGAAATGTCAATTGGGTACCGTCCATATGTGCTCCAACCAGGGTTTGAACCTGCAACTTAGGTATGTGCCCTGACTGGGAATTGAATCCACAGCCCCTCGGTGCATGGCCGATGCTCTGGCTAGGGCAAAACATTAAACTTTTGACCTTCGGGTAGGATAAAAATTTTTTTTAATTTATAAATAAAAGTACATAAAACATAAATGTACAAATTGTAAAAGAAAATATTGACAGATTTAGCCTTATTAAATTTAAGAACTTCTATTCATCAAAAGACACCATAGATGTGCTACATAGCAGAAGATATTTATAATTTATGTAATCAACAAAGAATTAGTATTTAACTTTTATAAGCTAAACATGTTAATTACTATATCTTCATTTGTGGCCTAATGTCTAGAATCACTAGTTGTTAGCAGTATCTTGGAGCTCCTAAGTCCTATGTAAGGTTGATTGGCCTGTAAATTTAGTGTTCAAGTGAGTCATTACAGACAATTTTCCGAGTTACTAAGTCATCTTTGTTAGGCCATCAGTCATCTGTTAAAACTTGAAGAAGGATCCAACTACCTCTTTTAGGGAAACCCAATAGAAAGATAAGCCTTTCTAGTACTCTTATTTCTATACTACATAATATTCACTATTGATGTTTCTGATATTCACATTCATAAATTTCTTGCATCAAACAGTTAATAATAGCAACAGAAATGCTTGTAACACCTAATAGTTGCAACTACATGTTTAGATTTTATTTTTTATATAATCCCCATTGGCTATCTTTATCCATTTTATTCCTTAATGAGTTCTTTTGAGAGCTCTGCTTTTTATAGAAAAAGAAGGAACTCTAGACTTTTTACATGCAATAATTGTGTTTTTAACAACAGGTTGCTCAGAAACTTTCCTGGTACATGTGAAATTATGTTTTTTCCCTCTATTTCTTTTAATTGGAACCAAACTGTAACTGAGGGAAAAGATCAGAGTGTTTCTCTATGATTTTTCTTCTAGAAACAATGAAAAGTAAACAAAAGTTAAAAGTCTTTACTAATTTTTAAAAAGAATAAATAACCAGAAACTCCACCTCTGTAATTTCAGATCAGGTATTGTTATGTGAAGATGAATTACTGACACTGGTGACCTGGTATTCTTGTGGCAGTTGGTGCAGTACCTGCTCTTATAGGATGTTGACTCCTTGAAGACAGGGGCCAATTATTTTATACTTATCAATCACAGTGTCATGTTCCCATCTCTCTCATTACCATTTTGGCAATAAAATAATCTGAAGGGGAATTATGATCATAGAAGGAACTATCTAATAGTGGATAGAAAGATATAGAAGGTCACCAGAGAGTGAGATTGGTCAGTCAACCAGTGCTCCCACTGTGGGAGCGCACTGACCACCTGCTTTGAGCGCCTGCCCGCTGGTAGTCACTACGTATCATAGTGACTGGTTGACTGGTCATTCCGCCATTTGGTAATTGGGCTTTTATTTTATAGGATAATTATTAGGTAAGAACTACAGGAAAGTGTTTATAAAATTACATTATGAAGTTGTCTAATTTGTGATTGAGGAAAGGCCAAATGAAATATGTATGCATTTATGTATATTACACATTCAGTAGTACCATATAGTTTTTATATGTAAATGCTGGAAATAAATACCAGAACATTGTTCTCCCATTAACCGTAGGACCTGTGCAGTCAATAATGAAGTCTTTATGATTTGTCCAGGAATTAGATACAAAGTAGAATTCCTTTATCCTGAATTCTTTGCAGCAGAGTATTCTGATGGCATGGGTTTAGGGAGTGTTCAGGGTAGCTATGTTTTATGACCTGAAGAGACCAGGAGGTCTGTTACATCAAAAATGCTAGTACTCAAATGATCCTGACCCAGGAGACTAGCATAGTTTTTGGTCTTTAGATGATCTTCCTCAATTTTTAAAAATGATCACACTGTTGTTTTTCTATTAAAAGGAAGCTGAATTGTCTTGTTTTTCTAATTTAATGAAGACTTAAAATATAAATTGATAAATGTATGGGTACCATGTTCTTAGCCCACTTTATTAATGCAGTCTACTTCTTTCTTTGTTAATGATAGTATTTGCCTTTTAACTTAAGAGAGAGTTGTGATAGCCCCTGGGCAGTGTTCTCACACTGCCACTAGTAACCGAAGTATAGTTGATGATAGCAATCTAGTGCTCTGTATTCAGAGTTGACCACGCCTTTCTCAGATAGCCACTTTCTTATTCAGGGAACTAAACAAAAAGGTGTGGTTCCCACCTCCCTGAGTGGTGAACCGAGCTGTTACAACCCAAGAGACCTGATAATTAAAGTTCCAAATCCATCTTTGTCTCTATTTACCAAGGGAAGTCTTATTTCCAAACTGAAAGTACAGCTTCAACTCCAAGGTTCTGTCTTAGTCGTAACATATTTGACACTTTGCTAATGTTGTTTCTGCTAATTAAATTTGGTACCTGTAATTGAAGAGTCTGGTGCAGCATATCCAGATATGCTTAGCCTGTTTTCTATAAAGGGAAAAATCTGTACAAAACATTACCAAAGATGAATTTTGATTGCTGATATTTTTCAAGTAGCCTGGTTTCTCCCCACCTGATAGAAGTTGCTGCATCTTTCCAAACAGGTTCTCTAATGATCTTGCTTCACCATGGCTACAAATATGGAGGGGCTGGTTCAGCACAGAGTGGGGACCCAGCAGGTGGCTGAGGTGAGTGACAGGGGCTAGCACAATAGCTAGTACCCTTGCTTTTGGTAGGAAAAGAACATCAGTGTGCTCTGTTGTTTGAAAACAGTCCCAAAGAAGTCAGGATGTAATCTAAATCCAAAGGAGGAGGATGCTGCCATGGCAGAAAAAATGAAAATGACGAGAACATTTACTCTTTATTCTTTTGCATGAATAGTGTAGCCTAGCTGCATTCAATAAGTGACTTAAAAAAATTCACCTTGAAAACTTAAAAGATTCTGATGCTTATCAAACATGAGGGTACAGCTTTAACTCAAAGGTTCTGTGTTAGTTTATTTCACATTTGGCACTTTACTAACATTGTTGTACAGAAGAGAACCCAGTTTTGTGTATTCTGCAGTCATTATTGACCAACTACCATGTACTGGAGATTTTGCTGAGTGTTGAGAAATATGGAGATGAATGAGCCTTTGGTTCTTCCTTTAGCATTTTCAGGAATTGGTTAAAAAGTCATTACAAAGTAGGGTGAGAAGTATAATTCCATGTGAGGAAGGTGATCCTAGAGTTGGATCTTGAGTGATAAGTAAGCATTTGTCAGACGCACCCAAGAAAGTATGGTGGCAGAAATCAGAAACCTGTAAAAAGGTCATGAAATAGTTAGGCAGCTTGAGGTGTAAAGGAGGGGAGTAGGGCCAAATCTTTTCACTCTGTATCAGGTCCTATGAATAGTCTTTAGTCAACACCACAACCATATGAGAGGTTGGAATGATCATTATTCCCATTTCATAAGTGAGGAAAGTAAGGCTCAAAGCAAGTAATTGGCCAAGGGCACACTGACGCAGTTTTGTTTCACTTCTTCCAATAAACCATGCATCATATTGGAACTAGGAGCCATTAGAAGGATTCAGATTTGTATTTTTGACTAGGTACTCATATTTCTAGGGTAAAAATGCAAATTTATCAAAAAATGTACATTTAAAGAAAGGAATTTTAAAAATAAAAACTAGGTGCACACATACCTGTTTAAACCAATAAAAGTAGTGAGCAGATATTTCAGATTTTAGATCAACCGTGAACTTTAAGGCAACAGTGTAACTAATCATCCCCTTCCTCCAATAAATAATGATTAATATTAACTAACTATGATAATAGATGGATTTCACACATTTTTTAGTAGTATATTTTAGAAAGGCCTCTCACCTGTCAAAATGCTTGTTATTTGTTGCCTTAGTTTTTTATAGGAATAATTTTCTTTAAAAAAAACATTGTGGGTTTTTGGTGTTTTTTTTGTTTTGTTTTTTCAAATATTTAGGGTTATTTTGCATTTAATACAATTTCCAGTTGAGGCTAATTTTGAGACTAGTTATGGATCACTGCTGTAAAAAGGTCATCATTAATTCTTTAGGGGAAAAGTTTAGTAATCTATAGTAACTTATGCAATAATATATTTTGGGTATGTATTCAGAAAATTTGCTTCCTAAAATTTTTGGTCAGGTACTATTTTTCCTTCAGAAAATGGAGTTTTATGTAGTATTAACTTAGTGCAACTATTGTTACCCATGGCAACAAGTGCAGTTTTAGGAGATTTCCAAAATAAGAGAAGGCATTCTTAATAGGAGTGCAAAAGCAATCTTTCTACTTAAAATATTCCCTAAGTTTCCTTGCTATTGTTTTGAGGGATAAGTATGTGTGTGTGTTCTTTGAAATTTTGAGCTTAATAACTTTGAAGCTACAATCATGTGCCACTTAACAATGGCGATGTGTTCTAAGAAATTCATTGTTAGAGAGTTTTGTTGTACAAAGATTATAGAATGTACTTACATAAACTTGGATGGTATAGCCAACTTACTAAATGGTGTAGGTCAGCAGTTTTCAATCTTTTTCATCTTTGTTGATTTGTTCCAGATTAACAAAATATGTATTTCATTATTAAAATTCTGTGGCACACCAAAAAATACATATTTTGTTGATCTGGAAAGAAAAAAAAAGGTATAATTTTGATACATTCACACCCAATGGCTACTGCTGTGTTGGCTATTGTCATTTTATTATTTGACAAAAGAAGTTAGTGCCCCTGAGTAAATAGTCAGGTATTGCATGTTTAAAACTTCTCATGGCACACTAGAGTGCCTTTTGCAACACACAGGTTGAAAATTGCTGGTATAGCCTATTGCTCCTAAACTGCAAGTCTGTACTGCATGTTACTATACAAAACTAAATAAAAAGAAAATGATGCAGTCAGGAGATATGGTAAACATGAGGTGTATGAGGCTGAAGTAAAGAATACACTCTAGCTCTGGCTGGGTGCTAAGTGGTAAAATATTGGCCTGGGCACTGAAGGGTCTCGTGTTCAGTTTCCAGTCAAAGGCATGTATCTGGGTTGTGAGTTCGCTCTTGCCTTCCAGTGCATGCTGGGGGCAGCTGGTTAGATATATATGTCTCTCTCACATCAACATTTCTCTTTTTCTCTCTACCCTCCCTCTGTCCCTTTCACTCTCTCTGAAAAGCAATGGAAAAAATATCAACTGAGGATTAACAGCAACCAAAAACATAGTATACTCTAAAATAATGATAAAAGTTTAGTGTATACCTTGTTTCCCCGAAAATAAGACAGGGTCTTATATTAATTTTTTCTCCCAAAGTTGCGCTAGGTCTTTTTTTTTTCAGGGGATGTCTTATCTTTCCATGTGCTAGGTCTTATTTTTGGAGGATGTCTTATTTTCAGGGAAACACGGTATTTAAAAAAAAAAAAAAAAAAAAAGGATAATATAACCCTAACTGGTTTGGCTCAGTGGATAGAGCATTGGCCTGTAGACCGAAAGGTCCCAGGTTCAATTCTTATCAAGGGTCCATATTACAGGCTCGGTCCCCAGTAGAGGGCGTGCAGGAGGCAGCTAATCAGTGATTCTCTCTCATCATCAATATTTCTATCTCCCTCTCCCTTCCTCTGTGAAAGGGAGAGGGAGATAGATATACTAAAGTATAGTATAGTAAATACATAAACCATTAATAGTCGCTTATTACCATTATCAGGTATTATCTATATGTTAGAGGTTCAGTGCACGAAGATTCATGCAAGAATGAGCCTTGCTTACCCTGGCTGCTAGCACTGCCTTTGCTTTGGCCCAGAACTGCTTAGAAAGGCTTAGCTATCCTTTATATACTAGTTGGTTAGTTATTTGTTGATTAATTTCTTGGCCTCATTTAACTTGTTAAGTTACTGTCAGCTCATCCTATTTACAGAGGCATCTGCAAAATACTCTGCTACATTTTAACATTAGTAAGAAATAACATTTAGTAAGAATGGGACAGACCTTAAGACCCTCCTCCTATCTTAACATTCCTGCTGTCAGTGCAAAATCTCAGGCTCTTGCATCTGATTCACACACACACACACACACACACACACACACACACACCCCGCCCTTCAAGAGATACCAGACCTGCAAGTATCTGGCATTCTCTATTTCTACAGTTGGAGGTAGGATCTGCCTCATATGGATTCCCTGAGAGAGGGAATTACTATGTTCCCTAGAAAAGTAATTTAGGAGTACACATCAGTATTTATGATGGTTTGTGTAAGGTGGATTCCCAGAAGTATCGATAGAATTACCAGGTCAGAGGGCATGAACACATTTTTATGATAAGAGGAGCAGACCCATTGACCTCAACATTTGGAACTTGGAGCATTTTGTTTACTTGGATCAATCTTTCCTTTTATATATCATTTATTAGTTATACATAGTGAATAGAGTGTAATGTTTTTTAGAACTTTAAGTATTTGAGGTAGGGAGAGACTGTAATCTCCCATTTTTAAAAGGAGAATCTCTCTTTTCCCCATCCCCCTCTTGATTAATTTTTCCCTTCTGGGTTGGGAGCCTAGGTTTGTGCTAGAATTTGAAAAATGGATAACATATTCTCTTAGATTATTTTAAGTTTTATTTTAAATTAGTTAGTGTACATACAAACTTGTAGCAGTGTGAAGAACTTAATATTTTAGTTTTCTTCTCTAAACTCCCCAATCCTATATAAAAGTAAATATCCATAAACACTTTCCACCCTTCCCCAGACCTCATTTGTTTTAGTGACTAACCAGTATTTGTTTCATGTTAGTTGTTAAGGTGTTAAAATAGGTGAGTCTCCATGGCAAACAGGAGGCTGCAGGTTGGCTGTAGTGGCAAGTGCTCTTGGCCGGTAGCCAAAGAATCTGATCACTGTGACCTCAGGAGCTCCATTTCCTATGGCCTTGCTGGAAGGGTGAGGCTTAGACTTGAAGCCATTCCATGGCCTGTTAAAATGCTGCCTTTGCACTGCCTGTGCTCATCCTCCTGCCAGAATGGGAGGCTGCAAAGGCTAAAACTCTGACCTGTATTCACATGTTGAGGAGATGTAGTTAAATGTTTATTAAATGAGCCCAGTACTGTTTTTCTTGTGGGTGTTTTTGTAGGTAATATAGACTGTTACGTTGTTGCCTTCTTTTTGAATAAGTAAGGAATTTGCAAGGCCCTTCCTTGTCTAAAAAGATTAGCTTAATATATTAAGAAGTTGAAAATGCTGTTTGTAGAATGTAATATTTCTGAGTTCTCCAAATCTTCCCTCCACTCCTTAAAGTTTTAAAACTATTTTGAGTTGGTTGGACTCCATGGTAACATTCTTATGAGCTCTCAGTTCAGGTAGTCTTTACAGCAAAAGGGGTTGGGAGCACTTAGCAAAGGTAATAATGTAGGTGCAGGGAGAACTTTGTAAAGCCAAGTACAACTTCCCTAGAAGCAAATTAATCATATTATTAGACAGACTGCTTAAGCAGCTGGTGAAACAGCGGGAACATGACAATTTTGCTTCCTTAGTTACAAGAAGTGATAGTGTTCTTGACCTTCACCAGAACAGGGTCATGGAAAGGGCATCTTTATACAGCCTTGTCAGGTTTTAGTGCATGGAATCTGCGGTGGCAGTTTGAAAGCAAATGCCTGTGAGTTCCCCAACCAACCCCTCATCATTCGGGTTGGACACTCTGGTCTGGGAGA